TCCTATGAGAGTAAGATGCATGTCTGCACTGCTAACACGTCCACCTCCACAGCCAAAGCAGGGCCTGCCATGCAGGGTTCACTAGGAAGTCTCTCAGAATCCATCAGGAAGGCGCAGGTAGGTCCCTGAACAGCTGCCTCACAGGGCCCTGGAGCTAATGATTCAGTAAGAGTCTTGTTCAATGTAAGTTCCGAGGGCATAGCCACATGCAAGGCCTTTATAGAGAGAAAAGAATGGGCAACATTTTAAAGACCTTCAGGGAAGTGTTTAAACTAGCAGATAAACCCAACTTATAAGAAATACAAAAAAAAAAAAAAAAAAGACAGAGGACAGAAGAACATGTTCAATGATACTATGGGGAGGCAGCCAGCAAAATCCAGGTTACCCAAAGTCTACAAGACAAATGACCTGATTTCTTCAACAAATTAACTACAGAGAGAAAGAAGAGTTGGACGGAAACCTAGAGTTTAACAAACCCAGAAGATACTAACTAATTACAAAACACTGATCTTGATATAAACTTGATCCAAACACTCATAGATACAAAGAACCAACGGCTCTCAGAGGGGAAGGGGTAGGGGGACTGGGTGAAAAAGGTGAAGTGATTAAGCAAAAAACAAAAACAAACAAACAAACAAACACTCTCCTAAACAGACAACAGTGTGGTGATTGCCAGCAGGAAAGGGCATGGGGGGAGTTAGTAGAGAGTAAGGGGGGATAAATGGTGATGGAAAGAGACATGACTTGGGGTGGTGAACACACAATACAGTGTACAGACGATGAAATAGAGAATTGTACCCCTGAAACCTACATAATTTTATGAACCAATGTCACCCCAATAAATTCCATAAAAAAACTTGATTTAAGCAAATTTTTTTTTATTTTTAAAAAAATTTTTAAAGACTTCATTTTTTTATTTAATTTTAGAAAGAGGAGGAGAGGGAAACCTGTGAGAGGAACAATCGGTTGCCTCTCGCACACCCCCAACAGGGGACCTGGCCTGCAACCCAGGCATGTGCCCTGACTGGGAATTGAACCAGTGACCTTTCGGTTTACAGACTGGTGCTCAATCCACTGAGCCACACCAGCCAGGGCTGGTTCAAACAAAATTTTAAAAATGTTTATGACAGCTGAGAAATCACTAGAATATTTGAACATTGACTGGATATTCAATTATTTTATTAACTTTTAAATATATATTCAAGATAATAAGAAGGATTTACTTCAAACTAATATTGCATGTGGAACATAGGGCAGGTCCCCAAGTAACATTGTTTTGTTCAATGTCATTGTGTTGTAACTGTTGATGAGATGCCTAGGAACTTAGCTCATTTGTATCCATTCACGTGCAGTAAAACTGGTTTTGTTATACATTGTTTCACTTCAAGTTCCTGAACCTATTAACGTTAAGTGAGAAGTAACTGCACTTCAATATAACAGGGTGATGGAGGGGGTAAGATTGCTGTTTAATGGCAGAGTGGCCATGTTGACAGTAACTGACTCTGGGTGATGGGTACATAGAGACTTTACTATTTTATTATTCTCTCGGGTTTGGGGTTTGAAAGTCTCCATAATAAAAAGTTAAAGAGAAATAAATCATCGTGTAAGGGTCACCTGCTACTTATGGGCACAGACTGTCTCACTTGTAAAGTCTCCTCAGGCGAGCTCCCAGGGGGTTTGGGGAATAAAAGTGTGGATGCAGCTACTCAGAGCTGTAGGAACAAGGCAGCTTACCTGAGCTTACACACTTCCCAGGCAGTTTCACAGACACAGAAATACTCCCCCAGCAAACCCTCCATGTGGGGTTCAGGTGTACAACACACACACACACACACACACGCAGAATCCTACCCGCCAGCTCCAGTGCAGCCCCCCTCCCTGGCTCATACCCCTCTTCTGTGCGAAGAGCAGCAGCAGGCAGGTGAGACCTTTGAGCACCTCGGCCATGACCACAGCAGTAGTGGCAAAGAAGCGGTCCCCAGGCAGCGTGCGGGTATAGCGGATGCTGAGGATGAGGGAGGCATTCTGGACCACCAGCACGGCCAGGGATATATATTTGAGGCGCCGGTGAGCTGTGGGGAATGGAAGGGGCAAGGGGGAAAAAGGGGTCAGAAGCTGCTTGGGGCATAGCCAAACTACCACCCTCCCCTTTCCTTTCTCAACCAGTATCCTCCTAGCCACCACTTTTCCCTCCTCCCTCTACCTGCCCATCTTGACCCAATAAAGGTCTGACTACTTCTGCTTCCACTGCTTTAGTCACAGGAAGAAGAGCCAGGAAGGTACAAGTGGGCACAGCCCATACCTGGAATCTTTCCTGAAGTGTCAGGAAATGGCTGGGACAGGTCCTGAACAGCCACCTTTCCTTCAGTAAGAAGCAACCCTCCCCCAGAAAAGATACCAACTACATTTTCAACATTTATTGAGTGCTTACTGTGTGGCTATTACTGGGCTAAGGGATTTATGTGGATTACCTCAGTGGACCCATATATCACTCTGATCTCCAAAGGAACTATAAGGATTCCCATTTTATAGATGAGCAAATTAAAGAGTTATATGAAATGCTGCTTCTACTTAAAGACGGGTTGTCCCATGTAAAGAATGTTACCCCAATCCAAGGAATGAGGCTGCTGTATAAAGCATGCCCACCCCCTAAGAAAGTCTTTCTCCCATCTAAGAAATTATTTCATTCCCTCACAGTCAGAATGATCTCTCCAATCCCTCCCTCTTATGAGGACTGATTCCTTCTGACCCAAAATGATCTAATAAAATAAGAAATGAATCCCACTATCCCAAGGAATGAACCCCAAGAATGGTCTGGTTTCTTCAATGATATAAGCAAATACTTCCCTATGCTCCACATGGTCTAGTCCTCCAACTGCCGCATCCCCTACCTCCAGCCCAAGAATTATTCCTTGTTTTTTTTCACACAATAAACAATTCCGACTATAAGGAAGGGCCTGGCACCCTTAGAACGTTCTTTCTGTGTCATATAAAGAAGGACCTTCACACTCCAACATATAATAAACTCTATCTCCATTAGGAAGGGACTGCCCCAGCACGGTCTACTCCCCGTATATTGAAGGACATCCCTATCCTCAAAATGGACTCTATGTCACATAAGGAAGGACCCGCCCCACCCTCTCTCTCAATAGCCCCTATCTCTTTATAAGGAAGAAATCACCACCCTCAGGAATAGCCTCTCCCTTCTATAAGGAAGAACTCTTCCAGCCTCAGAATGGCCTCTTCCTTCTATAAGGAGAAACTCTCCCACCCTCGGAATGGCCTCTCACTTCCATAAGGACGGAACCCACACACCCTGAGAATGGTCTTAGTGGTCTTAGCCTCCCCAAAAGAAAGCATCCCTCTAGACTCAAAATAGCCTCTACTTCCCATGTGCAGAAGGGAGCCTCCCCACCATCCTCAAAATTGGTCTCTACCCCGTCCCACACATTCACAATAGTCTGTTCCGTCTTTCCTCCCCCACCCCCCTGCTCACCCCTGTCACACACACATAGGTCGGTCCATATGGGATGCTCCCTCTCGCTCCAATGAGGAACCTTCCTGACAGCCCCCAATGATCCTGACCCCCGCACTGCTGCCGATCGCTTGTCCACGGCCTGTCTCACCCGCACTCACGGTACCAGGTTCCAACGCCCCCGCGGAGACCGCCCCTGGCCCTGCAGCCGCGGTGGAACCGCCAGACCCAACCGCTGCCATGTTGGCATCTGCCTGGCCCGTCCCTCCTGCAACAGCAGGCCACTTCCGTGTCCGTCACTTCCGCTTCCCGGCTGCCACGGTGAGGTGGGACGAAGGACTGACCAGAGCAGTGGCTTTCCTAGTCCTCTCCAGAACGCGAAGTTATAACAAGAGGCCTCGAGACTTCCCAATTCCATCGGGTGAGGGAGACCTGGTGCGCGGCCGGCTCAGCCTCTCGCCGCCTTTCAGCCCATTCCCGTTACTAGGTCCACCCCTTTTATTGATCCCGCTTTCCGCATCACCCGCCCATCCCGTCTCTTCGTCTCATTGGTTCAGTTGCCCGGCTTCTATCTCGACTATTTATTGGGACGGCCTCCTGATGGCACCGCCCTTGCCGCATCAAAACTAGGTCTTTCCTGGTTGGGCTGAAGTTCCTTTGCCCTCCCAGACCGAGACCCCGCCCTCTGGAGAGTCTGCGGGCTTTTGGGTGGGAAAAGACTGACGAGGCGGGACAGGTGAGGGTCAGACAGGTAAACTAGCATATAAAATCCAGGCTGTTTAGGATATACAAGTGAAAAAGCACAGCAAAGTTTAGTTGAGACTGAGAAGGGAGGACAAGTAAGCCAAGAGATGGAAAAAAACTGAGAAGTGGACTGGTAAGACTGCAGGGGAGAAGCTTACAGGTTAGCTTTTGAAGGCAGGGCAAGAGAGGGTACAATTAAGGTGGTTATGGACAGGTGAAATCAAGATAGAATAGGGCAGGTAAGTCAAGAATTAAGGAGAGATGAGAAGGATGAGCAGTTAAGAAGGCAAAAAGGTGAAGGCAAAACAGGTGACTTACACCCTGATTATTAGAAATCAAGTAAGGGCTGGGAAGATTCCCGTCTTCACTCAAACCCTGACCCACCCTCACCAGTGCCCTGAAAGGGCTTTTACTCTTCCCTGGCAAAAGAGACTTCCTGCTTAGGGTTGGGGGAAGGGCATTTTTCCCTGCCCCTGAGCTAGCCATGTTTAATTGGGGATGTGTCCCAAACATCTTCAATGCCGATGTCCAACGGAGACCTTCTGCACATACTGGTCATTACATAACAGCTGGGAAGGGGGTGTTGTCAACAGTTTTTCTTTGTGGCCCTGCTTAAATGAATACATAGATCTTTAGGATGACACCACAAGACTGAGGCCTCCAGAGGTGAAATCCAGTCCATTTCCCTCTTGGCTCAGCATGCTGTAGATGCTCCACAAATGCCTCATTGCAACTACGAGACAGTCATTTGTGATTCTGTTACATTTATTAAATAGTGGGTTTCCACACATGGCTTTTTAAATAATCCAGGCAGGTGGAAAAGGGAGAGGATGACACAGTTGGAGCTCCCTTCCTCCCAATACACAAGTATTTACATTTCAGCAACTGGACAATCCTGGCTCAGAAGGAGGCAGCAAAAATCCAAAAAAGGTGGAGGGGGAGGCCCCAGGATAACAAACAGCAAGACTTATTCCCCCCCCCCACTAAAACCCATCCACCCCATCCTAGTGGACTCTGGTGGTGTCCATCTCCCTTTCCTTCCCAAATCTTGGAAGTAGGGTTTCTCCTCACCAGAATAAGAGCACTTGGAATAACAGAGTAGGGTCCCTTCACCAAAAACAAACAAAACAAACAAAATTAAAAAAAAAAAGCCCTGGGATAACAATAGGGCATTACCTCCCCCAGAATAAGCAACCCTGGGCTGAGGTAGGCAAGCAGTTTGACTTAACATGGAACCCTAGGCTAGAGTAAAGAGTCCCTTTACTAAAATAAGAGATGCTAGGGTTTTGAAAGGAAAGCACCCTTGCCCAAGTTAGAGCATTTGAACTAAGTTTGTGTGGTGGTAGCAGGCAGGAGGTGCCAGTGTAACGGTTTAACACATCAGAATAAGAGTACTGGGGCTCAGAATGGAGTTAACTTCAACCAAATAAACATCCTTAGCAAAACGAGAAGCAAGGAAGTCCTCCCTCCAGAATAAAAACCGTAAATTCTGGGAGGAAGGCTCCTTATCAGGATTGGGATGGGGACTGGGCAAACTTGGCTTATGTTTTCTGACCCCAGATCCCCAATCTCTGACCCTAGTTAACACTGGATTTTTAATAACCTGTAAAACCAGGTCAACAGATGTCCTTCTATCCCTGTGGCATGGCCATGGGATGGCTATCCCAACTAGGGTAGCAGGGACCAGGCCAAAGGGGTAGGGCCCCCTTTAGGGGCATTAGGGGGTTCATCCTCGGCTGGTGTCTGCATCCAGGGATCCAGCAGGATTTCCTCCAGTGAAGGACGGGCAGACGGTTTGGGGTCCAGGCACCGGCGGATTAGGGCACAACAGTCTGCAGGTCAGAAACACACAGGAAATTAGCAGTTAGTTGGGGGCACCATTCCCTGGGAAATATGGAGTCCACTGGGCTAGGACCAGTGAGAGCCTCACCTGGGGATACATGGGCAGGGAAGTGGAGCTCAGCCTCCAAAATCTCCTGGTCCCTCTCGAAGGGAATGTCCCCGCACACCATGTCATAGAGAAGGATACCCAGTGACCAGACAGTGGCCGGGAGTGCATGGTACTGATTACGAGAAATCCACTCCGGGGGGCTGTACACTCTTGTCCCTGCACACAAGCCAGAGGTTAGACCACTCTCTGAGAATACCCTTCTCCCACACCACCCTCCCCAGGAAGTATGGTCCTATCACCACAATAGGAACTCTTTAAATATAACCACAGGGTCTCATCACCAGAATAAGAGCATTTAGGATGACGGAGTCCCCTCACAGAACAAAAGCACTTAAAAATAGTAGTAGGTTACCCTCACCAGAAAACTCTCAGGAGCAGGATCCCCTCACCAGAATAAGAACCCAGAACAAGGTTGGTGCACTGTGAGGAAGATGGACTTTAAAAGAGGGCAAGGCATGAGAGCCCTCAATGTTAAAAATCAGGAACTGTATAAAGGTGCAATATAGATCAAGGGTTACAGGATACCCCAGCAAAGGTCAAGAGCCCATAAAGATAAAAGGTAAAAAAAAAAAAAAAATCTCCCCACTGAAACTGAGGGAAGTCTTACCATCAAAGTCAGTGTAGGGTTCATCATGAAGGAGGGCGCCAGAACCAAAATCAATGAGTTTGACACAGACTCGGCGGAGGTCTATCAGGATGTTCTCATCTTTGATGTCACGATGGACAACTCCACGGGCATGGCAGTGTCGAACGGCTGCCACTACCTGGGCAAAGAGGCAGCGGCTTCGGGCTTCACCCAGCGGGCCCTGTTCTGTGATGTAGTCAAAGAGATCCTGGGCAGGCAAAGGTCGCTCAAGGACTAGCATGAATCCCTCTGGTGTCTCAAACCAGTCAAGCAAGCGGATCACACCAGGGTGGCCACCACCTGCACCCACCTTCCACAGCAGTGCTACTTCCAGTGGGCACGTGACAGAGTCTGACTGTGGGGGGAAACAGGGTGAGAAAAGGGAACAGACATTAGGTTAGTAGCTCTGAGGCTGACTTCTCACCTAACTTAAATCATAGCCCCTTGGCCTCCTGACTATGTGACCTTGAGCAAACAACTTCCTTCCCTAGGCTTCAGTTTCCTTATCTTAAGGACTCAAACTCACATAGCCATTTGGAAAGTGATTCAAGTCAAAAAGCCCATGCACATCTGGCCCTAGCTGGTGTGGCCCAATAGAGAGTGCTGGCCTGCAAACCAAAGGGTCACAGGTTTGATTCCCAGTGTGGGGCACATGCCTGGGTTGCAGGCCAGGTCCACAGCAGGGGGCATGCAAAATGCAACCACACACTGTTTCTCTCCCTCTCTAAAAATAAATAAGATCTTTAAAAAAAAAGCCCATGCACATCTGGCACATAATAGGAGCTCAGCAAATATGTGAAGAATAAAAGTGATTCTTAATAAAAGACTCTATGATGGACTATTTTATGTTTTGTTCACTGGCAACTCCAAAGAGTTTAGAACAGTACACCTTATATGCAGTAGATGCTCAATAATTGTTAAACAGATGAAAGAACTTGGAACAGTGCCTGGTAACAGGGTAGGGCTCAATACATATGTGTTAAATAGGTGAAAGCAATTAGTAGAAAAGGACCTACTACAAGCTGAATTCTCAATAAATATATTTTCCCAAGTGCCTAGAACTGTGCCTGGCACATAGTAGGTGCTCAATATACTTTTGTTAACTAGCTGAAAGTGAGTAATTATAGAGGGACAGATACAAAATAAAGACTCAATGTTATCACGATATTTTGTTACTCTCACCAAGCATCTAGAACCATGTTGTATAAAAATGATTACTAGGACTTGGAATAAATAAGCTTTTTATGATGAAGTAAAGCCAGAAGCATACCTGTTGGTGCTCAATAAAGAGTATAAATGTTACTGGCCACAAAAGCCGTCTCACTCTAGAAGCCCCACGTGGGCACGACTTGCAGAAGCAGCATTACTGCCTGAGGTGGGGCCCTCTCCTGGCCACTCCACTGACTTGCACAGCTGCAAACAGGTTTTCTCACGGTGATGAAAATCCCGCTACTGCGCAGGCGCAGTCTTCCCAGCTCCCGCCAGGGGGCGCTACCGCCTTTACAACTGGCCCAGACCCGCCCTGCCGTCCGTTAGCGCGCTAACGGCAGAGAAGCAACCACCGTCGCCATGGCAACCAGTGACCTCTGCCCCCCCCTTCCCCACCAGCATGCCCTGCGGGCAGCCCCTGAAGCGGGGAGGACGAGAAAGAGGGGTTGGAGGGGAGATTTTAGGGCCCTAGGGAAACTAGGGTGAGTCAGAATTGTGTGGAGGTGTGGATGTCACTGCAGGGGAGTAAACACAGGCTGGGAGGAGTGATCTCCGCGCCAGTTACAGGGCCCAGGGAGGCACACTAGCCATCGAAAGGCACGGGGGCGAGTGAGCCCATCGTCAGCCATGGCGCCACCAGGTCAGAAGGGGCGCCGAAGATACTCACCAGTGTGGACCATCCTAGCACGCGATTCCGTGGGATCACTTTGATGGCCACCTGGAGAAGCAGGCTGGGTGAGGGGGCCGGCAGATGACCCCCAGAACCCTCCCAATCCCGAGCTTCACCTTAGTCTTTGTGGCCTCAACCACACCACACCACGACCCCCAATGGGCTGAGGCTTCTCCCCAGCCCGCAAGTCCCCAGGACCAAGTTCATCTCTCCCACCGCCCTAAGCCCTGGGCTCTCCCTTCTCAGGTTTAGGACTGCAATCCAGGTTCTGAGTCCCGAATTTCTTCACATCCCAAGCGCTCCATCTCCCCATCCAGCCCCAAGACGCCCCGACTCTGTTCCCGGGGTCTTTTTCCTCAAGACTCCATACTGGACACCTTGCCTCCAAAATCCCCCAAATCTCAGCTCTGCGTCCCCACCTTCACACACATTCACACATCCCCGGAATCCCAGGGTCTAAAGTCATCACGAACCCCCCACCATCACCAGCCGGTCTCACTCCCTGGCCTTTCCAAACCCCTGCCCCTCCCCCACACGCCCACCTGAGTCGCCACACACACAGACACACGCGCGCGCGCGCGCGCGCGCGCGGGGTGGGGGAGCGCGCGCTCGAACGCCCTCAGCAAGCCGGGTCCTGGTTCTCAGGACCTTACCACACACACATTGTGGGTTCATTCCCAATCAGCAGCCCAGCCCCGGGCCTCCCGCCCCCGCCACACACACACACCTGACCCTCCCCAGACCCTCGTGGCGGATACCTGGAGTCGGTCTGTGATGCGATGTCCTGCGAAGACAGTGCCAAAGCCCCCCTTACCCAGCAGGGGGCCAAGCCGGTACTCGGCCTCGAATGCTTCCCGATCCTTGCCTCCTACGCAGGCGGAGGCGAGGAAGTCAGGGTAGCCCCATGCTGAGCCCCGCCGCGACCCCTCCCCACTCCCCCCGTGCCGCCCTCCACCGCTTCAGCCCGCCCGGCCTGTTAGCGGTAGGGAAGCCTCCCTCACCTGGCGGCGGCGTGGGGGTCACGGGGGCCACCGCGAGCCCCTGAAGAGGCTTGCTCAACATGGAGGAGGCGCTGCGCAGATTGAGCCCACTGAGCCCGCAAGGTGTAGATGCCCGGGGCAGCGAGGCTGGGGAGCCAGGACTTGGGGGCGCCAGGGTGGAAGGCAGGGAAACTGGTGGCCCAGAAGCGCCCACAAACGGCGCAATGCTAAGATTCTCCGCGCGCTCCAGCCCCAACGCTACTGAGCCGGGGCACGCGCCTCCGGAGAGAGTCACCCCGGGCGACAGCCCCGCCCACTTGGCTTTGATCAATCCGGACGCGGCACCTGCTGTACCCCAGCCAATCGGAACCAGTCCTTATTTGCATACCACCCGCAATGTCTCAAGTACCCCCTTATGCAAATACAAGCCCGGCTCCTCCGTGGGGGGCGGGGCCTGTATGCAAATGAGGGGGCGCGCGCGAAGAGGAAACCGGTTCTGGGAATCCCTTTGGCGCAACTGCATTTGTTTTGGTTGTTGCGCGGGGTTGTTTTTATATGTGTGTGTATGTGTATATATAGATATACATTTATAAAAAAAATTACTGCACCCCCTCCTTTCCTAGGCAGTTAGTTTGCTGCTGCCTTGAGATAGCACAGAGATAACGCCAGGTCTGGCTTCCAAGAATCTGGGCCTTGTGGCTATCCAGGACCAGTCTCCGAAGGTGCTCCTCACCAAGGACAAGGGCCTTCTAGGCCACGGATGGCTTCCGCCCTGAATCTGAAGCCAGGGATCTTGGAAGATACTTTTCAGCTGCCAGGGATGGTAATCCCCTGACGACCAGGGTGGGGGGACAAGCTGGTCAAAGACAGCATCCCTGAGATGGCGGCCTGTGGAATGTTTTTGTAGTCTTTAAACTAGACAGAGCTAGGTAGACCTGGCCATGAGCCCAGTTAGCAGGTCTAGAATCTGGAAAGGGGTGGGGGGTGTTCTTGAGGAGTGGGAGTAAGCCAGAGTGGTGGTGGCTTCAGGGTATGCTTCCAGATGAAACGGGGCTAAGAGCTGGAAGAAGTGGTAAAATACCTTTAGTCACAAATTTGGAAAAAATAGGTCTCATGCCGCAGAAAGACAATCACTCGGAAGAGACACACACGGAAGTACCACAGGATATACACAAACACATACCACATTTGTGTAAACTTGTCCTAGACATACATGCAGTCACGCATTGTCATGAAGAGTGACGTCCACTGCCAGGCAGGCATGCTGCCAGAGTCATGTCCCAGAATGACACAAACTGTTACAGAAAGGCACTCCAGAGAAATCACATAGACCTATATTACCATTTGACCATGACACAGAAATGTCCCTCTCAGACACACTGCTAGAACTTGTCACAAAGAAACTGGCACCATCATATGTGCACTATCACAGAAAGGACTTGTGCTGTCCCAGAACTTAAGAGTCCCAGAGTCTGTCACAGGAAGCCACATAGATGCTCAAGAGACACATATGCACTGCTGTTAAAGCAGACACATGTATGTGACAGAGCCATAGAGATAGGCAGTATCACAAACAGGCGCAGACAGACCCAGTCACAGACACACATATACCAGCAGGCATGCAGCACTGTCACCGACACTGTTCAGAAATAGCTACCCAGAATCCATCACAGGAACACAAACGGACATTCACCCCATCAGAAAGAAACCACAGATGCGCTATCACAGACAGACCCCCACACACATGCACTCGCCTCAGAAACAGACACAAACTGTCACAGATAAGAGTCCCGCACTCAGTCACCATCTGACACACCTGGAAACAAGCCCTCATCACACAAACTAGAAACGCTCTTGTGAGATGCACATAAACACTTGGACTCACTAGTCACATATATACAGGCAACACCCAAACAGCAAATACATACATACTCACCCTTACGCATCTATTTATTAGGGGTCTACTGTAAGCCTACCAGGCCCTGGTGGGATTGCAGATGTTAGAGATACACAGGCTTCATAGCCCTTGCCCAGGAATCTGATAGTACAGTTATTGGGGAAGGAGTAAAAGCATTTGTACATAGATGGGAGAATGTGGATGCAGTCACAAGGGGCTTCTTAGAAAGCAACCCTCTACACTTTCAATTACCTTGAAAGACACGGTCGGGGGCTTGGGACAGGGGAAGGGCAAATTCTAGGTCGAGGCCAAGGTAATTGGAGGCAAGAAGAGGTAGGTAGGGGCAAATGGTGCATAATTTTCAACAGTAGAATAAATATCTACTGAGTTCTCAGAATGTGCCAGGCCCTGTGCCATCTCATGTTGACCATATGCATTCTCTCTCATTGCTCACAACCAGAGAGAGTTTGAGGTAGCAGGCATTAATCACCCCCATTGTAACACAAGCCACTTGAAACTCAGAGAGCCTATGTTTTGACCAAGGCCACACAGCAAGAAAACGCTGAGGAAAGTTTCAAACCAATTCTCCAAAATACACATGCTTGACCAGTAGATTCCAGACATCCCTCAGACAGCTACTCAGGCAGCCATGTCCTCACCTGTAGAGATGGACACGTATCCTTCCTCAGGGGCCCCATTACTGAGGCACAGCAAAAGACACTTGACAAAACCTGTCTTGGCTTTACCCCTAGGAAGGTCTGGGCACAGAAGTGTCAGAGAACTGGGGGGACATGAAAAAAAGTGAAAAAACAAAAAATGGTTTAGCCATTCCTCGGCTTCTAAAACCTAGTCAGGGAGGCCCATCTGGTCACTTCCACTGAACTCATATAGGTATGAAGCATCCGCTGTACCTTCCCAAAGCATTTCTTCATCAAATGATCACAAGGAAAGAGCAAACATTTATGGCAAAAGAGGCAGGCAGAGAAGTTGGAAGTTCAGTCCCTGCCCTCAAGCTCAGTCCTCTGTTCCCCTCACACCCAAGGAAATAAGGTGGGCAGGCTACATCATATGCCAGGACTGAGGTAGGGGCAGCAGGCAAAGATGGAGATTTCTTGGTGGTCCAGAAGTTGGTTTAGAAAGCAGTGAATCAAACATGAACTCTGGGCCCCAGGGAGAACCTGCTGGAGAGCATGCAGCCCTCAGAGGTCAAGCGAAAGTCTGTACCCTTGCCACCTCTGCCCAGAACCCACCCCCACCCCCCACCACACACTCTGCCCCACACAGAACAGAGGCGCTTGGGGAAACTGACATTTGGTTTTATTGTGCCAAGGACATTACAGATGGTGGATCTTGTCAACACCTGCAGGGCACGGGTGCCCCATCTGCCAAGGCTGCTCCCACTCCCCACACTCAAATCCTGGGCGGTGGCCATAACCCTCAAAGGTGCCTCCATCCCAAGATTCCAAAGAGACTGGTAGTGGCGATGGTGGAAGCAATAGGAATGCAGTGAGGTCAGGGTCTCATTGTCCAAAGCCCCTGTGACACCAGCCACCCGTACCCCCCTACTCTGCCCTGACTTGTACTCTAGACCCTGCCCACCTCCACAGAGCATGAGGCCAGAGAAAACCACCACATCTTTGTGCTCCCTCTGTGTGCCACAACCTGTCTGCCCCCAAACCAGAGAGATGCCACCTTCATAGAGTCAATGCTGTTGTCTATGTCATTTTTGATTGGTTAATTTTATAAGATAAAAGTACATTTTAATAAAGAAAAAATTCAACATTGAAGGCTCAGACATTCTTAGGGTACTGGGAAGGGGAATTCCCCACATCTTCCTCCCACTTCCCTGGCATAGTTGTGGAGGTGGGGTGACAAGGTCTTCAGAACTTGGAAGGAATGGGGGTCAGGGCGGCTTTCCTCTGCCTAAATGTCTCTCCTCGGGGACTGCCTGGCTGCCAGTTGGTTCGTCTGTGTGCCTCTTGCCTACCTTCGGCACCCTTGCCCAAGTCCCCTGTGGAATGCAGGGATGGTGCTGTGCAGGGGGCAACAGGGCACGTCAGCTGGCGAAGAGACAGGTGATGGTGGTGGTGGCAGCGATGAGAGGGGGCGCAGGGGTGGGTCAGCAAGAGGGAAGTGGGGAGGAGGAAAAGGAGGAGAGAAAGGGAAGGAGGAAGAAGGCAAGAGGGAGAAAGCCAAAGAAGGTGGGGTGGCACCAGAGGACAGGAGTGGTGGGAGTTGGGAGATGGTCTCCAGTCTCTGGGTCTCCATCAACTCTTGTCTGGGGGTGGATCTCTGTGCACTTTGTTTTTCTTCATACTGTCTAGGTATTCTTGTTGGGACACTGCCAGCACCGATGCTAGGATCTCATCATCATCCCAGTCGTTCAGACCTGCTAGGCAAGAAGGTAAAAAGAATGATGGAGCACCCTCAGCCTGCTTTTTCTTCGCCCTTCACTGATTCCTGACTCTAGAAAGATCCCGTCCAGGCCTCTCTCACTCTTATCTCCAAGAAGTCTCCTCTGAGCCTCTGAAACCCACCTCCCAACCACTTAGAATCCCTCTGGGACATATCCCTTGGGCCTAAAAGAGTCCCTTTTCATAGGGAGATGGCCAGACTCCAGAGACCCCCGACTCAGGACTTACTGCTTCTTCCACCTCTCCCAAGATCCCAGCTGGCCCCGGCCCCTAGATAGAGGAAGCTTACCAAAGGCGGAGGGGGACATCTGCTGAATGAGGGCCCGGCACTCCAGAGCAGGGTAGAGGGACACGAGGGGAGAAGTTGCTGGGTCGGCCCCTGCTGAGAACTGGCTGCTTGTACCTGGGGCGGATGGACAGTCAGAGGCAGGGCCCAGAACCTAGGCAGCACCTCCTAAGCCCTGCATGTTCCCTGTCAGTAAGTCACTGACCTGGTGCACAGGGCGAAGGAGGTTTGGCAAGAGCTAAGACAGTGCCTGGGGAGGGGGGCTTTATGCCCAGCTCAGCATGCAGCTCAGAGTGCTCAGGTGACCGCTGCCGTGGGGACCGGCTAGTCCACTCCTCCAGGCCACTGGAGGCGGCAGCTGTGGCAGAAGTGCAGGTGGCGCTGGCTTTCCGGGGCTGAAGTAGGGAAAGAGAAGGTAAGAACCTACAAAAGTCTCTACCCTCCTCTGCCCCATCCCTGAGGGCTCCCTCCCTCCCAGAATCCTGGCTGTGACACAACTTCTACATAGGCCACCATCACTCTCAGTCACACAACGGACCACACAACGAAGGTAAGCTCCTTAACTCTCCTCACACTCTCACAGGCAGTCTGGCAGGAAACCTGTTACCTCCACCTTCAAAGTAGACCCAGAACCCCACCTCCCTTGACTGTGCCAGCAGCAGCGACCTGAACTATTGTAGCGGCCTCCTCCTTGCTGGTCCCCTGTTCTACCCTTGCCACCCAGACTCCGTTCTGTACTCAGCAGCCAGGGAGATCCTGTCAAATCCTAAGTCAGATCCTATCCCTCCTCTGCTCACAACCCTCCACAGCTTGTCTCACGCAGAATAAAAGCCAAAATCCTCACCATGGCACACAGGTCCCTTCCCAATCTGGCCGAACTGCCTCTATGACTTCTGTTCAGCCACACTGGCCTCTGACTGCTCCTGAACCCCACCAGGTGTGTGCTACCTCAGGGCTTTTGCTCTAGTTGGTCCTCTGCCTGCCCGTACACATGAACATAGCTAACTCCCCTCACCTTTGGCAAGCTTTTGCTCCAATCTTACCTGTTCTGAGGCCTACCTAGTCCACACTATTTAATACTGTGAACTCCCAGCCCCTCTCAGCCCTACATATTCCCTTTACCCTCCTTTGTATGTCTTTTCATACATACCACTACTTAACTAATTTATTCATTATGTTTATTTTGTTCCATTCTGCAAAAAATCACAAGGACAGGGATCTGGGCCTGCCTGGCTCACCGAGGTACCTCTATACACCTAAAACAGTATGGGACATAGGTCTACAATAAATATTTGTTGAACGATTTACTCAGCTTTTGCCAACATCTACAATCATTTTAAACTCCTTATGATTTCTCAAATATCTCTATGTCCTGCCCCTTCCCTGCCCCTAAAAATTTCAACCTTCCTGTAACTAGAGCCCCCATCTCCACTAGTCTCCCAGCTACGGTTAGGGGCCCCACTGAGGCACCTGTTTCCCTCAATAGACAGGGGACCACTGAGGATGGAGCAGGCTAGACCTTTTTACATTCTCAGCACAGAGCCTGCCACACGACACTCAACAAAAGCTTGTCTCTCTGAAACTATCCATCAATCCAGCATGTCACCACCAGTGACTGCTCTCCCTCCCTCACTTTCTAAGTACTTGTTCTGCACAGGTGTTGAGAGTTCTAAGGCACATTGCCAAGACTAAGGTCAAGATAAGGTACAGACAGGTTTGGGAGCTTCCTTGTCTCCCAGATGTATAAACTGTTTAATTTTTTCTGCCTGTTTGGGGCAGAACATGGGAAATAATGGGTTCTTAGGGAGGCCAGTGGCAGAGCCTAGGACCCACCTGGCTGGGGCCGCGAACCTGGCGGGCCTGTTTTTCCTGATCCCGCAGCCATTGCAGGTATGATTCTCGAGCCACCTGCTCTTCAATAGCCTCATTTGTGGCTTCCCAATCTGTGGCCCGCTTCTTGTCTTCCAGCATCTGCTGTTCGATCCATGATTCCTCTGATGTTTTTATGGCACTCTTCATCAGGGACTGCTCTGCAAACTGCGAAAGTAGGAGGAACAGAGATATGGGGAGACACTCTGAACTCTGGCCAAGAGCCAGAACTGGCTCGGGGAGGTGGTTCCACAGGCCCAGAAGAGAGGAGACAGAAAGGCAGGTACTTTTACTAAGCACCCCCTGGGTAGGCTGACTATTCATCAAGGACTGGGGGAAAGCAGGTGTGAGTGGTGGAACTAGTAGTTCCAAACTCCTACACTCAGTAGTAGATATTTATTCCACAACAACTCAACTGAAGTACTAGGTCTGGGGCAGCCAGGTACCCTCCAGCATAGGCCGGAATTTAAAGAAGTCTTACCCACTGATGACTTAGTTTCATAATGCTGAGGCCTTCCTCATCTATGCTGAGGTGTGACAAGGAGATTACCTAAGAAGTTAGCTGTATGTACGCAGGGTGGACAGAGTAGTCAGGTATTTAAGGGGGTGAGGATGTAGTATCAGCATGATATGAGGTATTATGAGTTGCAGGACACTGTATGAGAGTGCTCTTTGTTAGACTGTGAGATATGACTGCATTTTAAAAAACAAAATAATAAAAAATATCAGAGCATATCCCAGGGAGTAAGTGTTAAGTACTGGTCAACAAAATTCTAATATTATTTTAATGCACATATACACACTGCACACCAATGTGTGTGTGCACAAAGTAATGATATAAAATGTAAATTTTTACCTATGGATAACAGTCTAAAAAGTATGTAAAGCTCTATGTTAGAACAAGACAATTTAAAAATGGGCAAAATAATCTAAACACACAATTTCATCAGGTATATGGATGGCAAATATTCACAGCAAAGATGCTCAACACCATTTGTCATTAGAAAACTAAAAATTAAAATGAAGCAGTACCTATCAGCTGGTAGCTTCATATAGTTATGGATAGTTATATATAGAAATATTTCTGGATATGTGTATACACATGTTAGTATACACACATATATCTCCTTACACCATCAGCTAAAAGGGTTTAGAAGGACACCCCAGTATCAAGGAGCACACTCAGCCCTGACTGGTGTGGCTCAGTGGGTTGGGCATCGTCTCACAAACTGAAAGGTCACCGGTTCGATTCCAGGTCAGGGCGCATGCCTGGGTTGTGGGCCAGGTCCCAGGTTGGGGGCATGCAAGAGGCAACCAATTGATGTTTTTCTCTTGCATTAATGTTTCTCTCCTCTCTTTCTCTCTCCCTTCCCCTCTCTCTAAAAATAAAAATAAAATCTTTTAAAAAAAGAAGTACACTCAGCACTCAGATTGCGATTTTTAATAGCATTCCAGTAAATGGAACCAGGGCCCCTGGAAGGAATGTCTGGTTCTAAGACCAAGGAAGGAAATATACAAGCTGAGCCTGGAGCACCTTTAGTGTCAGAAAGTAAGGAAGTGCTCAAAAACAAAAAGAACAACATCAAAAAACAAAGACAAAAATTAAAAAAAAAAACACTACCACAATGATGGGGGTACGACAAAGAGATGAAGGAACCAACTACGACAGCTTCCAACAGCCCAAAATGAAACAATTTGAGCATCTAAATAAGAATAGCGTTGGATTATAACCCAAAGTATGAAATTTGAGTCCATACCAAATAAACAAATGATTGAATAAATGGGGGACAAGAGTCCAATTCCCCTTGCAGGAAGAATTCCAAAACCTTTATATAGGTATTCTGCCCTCAAGGAGATGGAGCTGAACACTCACTACCTAAGTGTGGGCAGAATACAATGACTTCCTTCCAAACAATACAGTGTGGAAAAGAGGGTGGGGGGAAACCAATGATTTTACATTGGAGAAAACAGACACTGCTTCTGCCAGGTGATCCCGGTCAACAACAGTCATACATCATTTTCACAGTTTGTACTGCTGATATGATGAGATGAGAATGGCACTTTACCATTGTGTTCTTCCTCCCTACAACCCATAACCCCAGTCTAAGTATTAGAAAAACATCAAATTCCAAAAGAGAAACATCCTACAGTATAGCTAACTAGTACTCCTCAAAACTGTCAAGGTCATCAAAAACATGCAAGTGTGGGAAACCGCCACAGATGAAGGAGCCTGAAGAGACACGATGACTTTAGTTAATGTATCAGTATTGGTTCATATATTGTAACAAATGAGTAACAGTCATCTGATATGTTAATAATGAAACTGTGCAGGAGGAAGGAGGGATACATGGGAACTCTGTACAATCTTTTTAGTTTTTCTGTAAACTCAAGGTATTCACTTTTTTTTTTTAATGAAAGAGAAAGAAATGAATGCTCAAACCACGAAAAAATCTTAACTGTATAGCATTTATATGAAAGGAGACATTCTGAAAAACGACATACTGTATGACTCCAATCATATGACATTCTAGAAACGGCAAAATATGGAGTCTAGAAACAGATTAAAAACAAAACCAATGCAGAGGAACTGTCACAGCCAAAAGGAGCCAAAGGAGATACAACAACAACTGAATGTAACATGGTTCTGAATGGGATCCTGAAACAGGTAAGATCATTAGGAGAAAACTTAGATAATATGAATAAAGTATGGTCTTTAGTTAATATATCAATATTGGCTCATTAATTGTGACACATGTACTATGCTAATAAGGTGTTATCATAGTGGGGTATATGGGAATTCTCTAAGCACAATAATTATTTAAAATCTAAAACTGCTCTAAAATTCAGTTCATTTAAAAGAAAACAAAACAGCCCTGGCTGGTGTGGCTCAGTGCACTGAGCACTGGCCTGTGAACCAAAGGGTCACGGGTTCAATTCCCAGTGCAGGGCACATGCCTGGGTTGCAGGCCAGGTCCCCAGTTGGGGATGTATGAGAGGCAACCGATGTTTCTCTTGCACATCAATGTTTCTCTCCCTCTCTTTCTCCTTCCCTTCCCCTCTCTCTAAAAATAAATAAATAAAATCTTTAAAAAATAAATAAAAAACAAAAACAAAAGAAACCCTGATGTTGGAGGGTGTGTTGGTGTTAGGGTGTGTGTTTCCTAAAATGAGGCAGGAGCACTTTCTGTTTGTAGGAAGTGAAACCTGAATAGAAGATATCAAAACCCCCAGGAGATGACTATTTATGAAAGAGAATGAGAATCTGCCAATGTGTGCTGGGAAAATGTACTGCCACCTTCTGAGCACCTACTAGGCACCAGGCCTAGTGCCAGGCACTACCTTTATCAGCTGAGCTGCCAGTCCAGATTACTTTTGTATACTTCCTTGGTCCCATAGCCACTAAGTGGTGAGGTCAGGCCTGAACTCCAAGTCTCTGTGACCACAATGTCTGTAATTGCTGAGTTTCAGAGGAGGATCCACACAGGTGCCAAGACACCCAGACTGAGCCCTGGCTCCCGGTTCCCAAATATGACTCCATATCCCAAAATGCCAACCCTCCAATAGGCACAAAAGATGGGTTAGGCAGCTCAGACAGACAAACTGACACTGTAGAATGAACCCTCAGAGATCACCTTGGGTGATTCCCTGATTTCGCAGAGGTGAGACCTCAGGGGCAACTCAGAATGGGCAGGACATTTTTGTGGGCTAGAGGTAAAATTGAGACCCAAACAGAGGTTTCTGACCTCTAAATCCAACAGCCATCTTGGGTATGGTAAGATGCTTACCCCTGGTTTGAATGATGGCAGGCCCAGCCCCACACCAATGGTGGCCTTGTTGGGATTCACCACTGAATTGTAGTGGATATTCCGATGATAGCTGACACGGATGGGTTCGTCCTCATTTTGATGGATCCCATGGAATGTGTTGATGGGTTCTGCAGAAAAAGAGAAGAAAGTAGCATCCACAGTCAGTTGGGTAGGGCAGGTTTATACCAGGTACCATCAGTCGCTCACCTACCCACCACAGAAGTACCTGTGCTGTACTGGTACACCTCCACAGGCCGGTTGTACATCTCTGCCATGGCCTGCATCTCAATGTGGTTGCCATGGCAGTTGTTTTTTCGTTTCCGGTTGATGTAGGTGGTGAAGTCCTCTGTTACATAGTTGGAGAAGTAGTCGGCATTCTTCATCTGCAGAAGAGATCAGAGGGTCAAGATCTGTGTGGGCAGGAGATCCTCCCACTCTGCCCCACCCCAAGGTCTCTGCAGTCTCACCAGATAATCCATGCAGTGCTTTCGTACAACTTCATGCATGTCCTGGTCTCCATATACCTGGTCAGCTGTGGAGGCAGAAGAAAGGAGAGGCTGGGATCAGAGATGCCACCTGAGAAGAGTTCCAAGTCACAGAACATCCTTGGGGCGAAGGGCTGGGGGCCAGAGAAACTTCCTTTCCTACCCCAGGGCCTGGAGAGTTCTTAGTCTTGTGGGCTAAATGGGGTCATGGAAAAAGAGGCAGCCAGGGACAGTCTTTAACAAGAGGACAGGTGAGAGGGACACAACCACAGGCCTCTCGTGCAGATGATTTTGTCCTGCCTGGCCACTTAGACAAGTAAACATATGATGTCTCATAAGTGGCCTCAAGCACTACTGATTCCATATCTCCACCTTCACTCTTCACATGAAGAAACTGAGGCTCAGGGAGAGTTTGTGGCTTGACCAAGTTCATACAGAAAGTAAGTCGGTGACAAATTCAATTCTAAAATTCAGTTTGCCTGACTTCCCAGAGTCAGCGTGACCTTTGTATATTGGAAAAAAAATAAAAAGACAAAGAAAAAGGAAAACAGCTGGACTCCAAGCCCAGTTCTGCCAAGTACTAGTGAGCTAAATGGGAACAAGCTGGATGACTCCCTGGCAGGCTTTCTTGTGAGATTAATGAGATAATGGATATAACGTGACCACCACTGGGCTTGAGACAGAGCAGTCACTCAGTAAATCACAGTCCCCTTCCCTGTAGTGGGGTCTAAATATGGGGTACTGTGAAGGTGACAGAGCTGAGTAAAATCCTACCCATGTCCACAAGAAGCACATAGTCTAGTAAGAGAGATAAGATACATATGTACCTAACTAAGCTTAATTCAGAAAGGGCAGCCTGTGGACCAAATGGTTCAGGCATCATGGGGTTTTGGTCAAATTAAAAACCAGGCTCCCTCTGCCTTGCCTGAGGATCTTCACACATGCCTTCTCTCATTTCAGGATGTTCCTTCCATCTTGCTTGACTGCCTACTTGCCAAACACCAATGTGTTCTTTAATAGTTCCACTACTCTCCCAGGCACCTCTATTACCAGATTTATCAAAGGTATGTACAGACTTCATTTGCCTGATCATACTAGGCTCCCAGTGAAGGCAGAGGGCAGTTCGCATCCAGTCCACCCCCAGCTAAGGGCCCAATACAGCGCAGAAAACTGGCAACAGTTTGCTGAGTGGATGGACAAGCTGGCGGAGTCAGGAACACTTCTCCCTGGGAAATTAAGGTGGGCTTGGAGATGAGGCATGCCTGATGTCCACTGGCTAAGACGAAGAGGGAATTTCCCTTTGTCTTCCTAGAAGACCATTGCTCTGATGGGCTCTCCCGCACTGGGGCAGGGTTAGGTTCTGCAGGGAACACTGCAGAATTCTTCCATGACAGCCAGTCTACCTTTATGAAGAATTGCCAGAAAAATGCAATTCTTTTCCCTCCCTGGAGGGTTCTGTGTGATAAGGACAGAAAGGCTGCTCTGAGGTAGAAAATGGGGCCCATGCCTGCTCTCAAGTCCTCTTGGAGGTGTGCAGAGACCTGAGGGTGAGGCGGAGTAAGGGTTGTGAAGGCGGGAAGGGGTAGCCCCATCACTGATGTAAACAAGGATGTGGGTTCTGTGGCTACATTCTCCCCCGCCCCCCAGCGGCACTTCCAGAAAGTCACATGCCCTGTGCACAGGCTGGGGGCCCCCTGCTGTTGCCTTTCTTAGAAGCCAGTACCACAGAGCCCACTGTGGCTGCCTGCCTGCCAGAGCTGCTTGACAAGCTATTTCTGTACAATGGGCTTGGGCACTGAGGAGGCAGTGCTGTGGGCAGCTGCAGTAAACAGGAACTGAAATGGGAGCAAAGGGGTTAAATAGCAACTGGCCAGCCAGGCTCCTGGAGGTGCCTGAGATTTTGCTAGGATATAGGTCTACCTGAGCTAGATGCTGGATGCAAGAAAAAGAAGAAAGAGGGAGACTGTGGGACAGGGAAGGGAATTGGGGAAGAACTCCGTGAGGGTCCTCACATTTCCCTACCATTGACCCCTTTGCCTGGCAAAAGGGCTCTGCTGCCTCCTAGCTGTGTGACACTGAACAAGCCCCTTAAACTCTCCGGGCTGTAATATCCTCATCCATAAAGCAAAGAGAGTAACTCCTCTTCTTCTCATAGGACACTGTAAAGACTACAGGGGACGGTTTGCCAAACATCTGAGGCATACTAGGTGTTCAAGAAATGGCTCCATTTGCCATGAGGAAGATGATGTCTCCTTCATGTAGGTAGCCATCCACAAATCAGCCAGAATGTCACCGGAACCACTTATTAAGTTTTTCCTCATTTCTGTTATACTTCTCCAACCAGAATAAAGCCCCAAATCTGGAGTCTAGGCTGTCCCTTGTGTAGGCAGGACTGGCTCTCTACCTTTACTGATGCCAAAGGGCCATAGACCCACCTTCTATAATTGTACTGAAAATCTTTAGCAACCAAATTAATGTCAAATCAATAATACAGGCTTCACATAAGGGGGTCCGTAAGTTTGGACAAGGTATGACCTTCTCTACTTATCAATAAAACATAAACATACTCTTTTCTCCTCAATTATAAGATGCACTGACAGGTGGTACGATAACATGTATTTAATCATGCTGGTGGGGAGATCACCAATCTCACTGATGATAAGATACACCTTAGTTTAGGTATCATTAATGTGGAAGAACACAAGTTCCTCAGAACCAAGGACACAGAGCAATAGTACCTCCCCAAAGAGCACGAGTAGAAAGATCTTTTCAACGATATCCAATGCGGGCTAATAACACAGGAAGTCCTCATTGAGGAGGTTCTTGCCTGATTTTGCTAGTCCCACCTCTGTCCTCCTGAAAGCCCTCCTCCTCCCAGAAGGTTAGCACAGGGGCTAGGGGCCAGGCTGGATTTCCCTGTGGGGGCCAAGGTAGGGGAAAGGGCCCAATGGACTTACAGAGGTAGGGGAATTCAGAGAACTTGTTTTGATAGAAACTGAAACTCCTCCTCTTGCTGACGCTGCATTTGTGGGCAACGTGCACCTGCTCTCCCCTTTCAGCGTCCAGCTGGAAGAGGGTCCCCCACTACCTCACCTCTGTCCCCAACCCAAAAAGGGCTTGGAAATCCTCAGTACAATACTACAACTGGTTCCCCCAAGGCCTTTTTACATTCCAACTCATCCTATCCTTACCCCTCCAAATACGTAACTTTACATAGAGGGATCGTGAAGTACAGAAATGTGGCCCAGGGGCCCAAGGTCACCGATTTAGGAGGGTGAAGGGCAAGTCAGGCTCTCAAGGACTGACTTCAAGCACTGATACCCAAGATGATATTTTCATCACTCTAATCCAGCTAACCTGACACCCTAGGGCCAGGCCTGATCTTGTCTACCTCTGTTTCCCCACAAGCACAAGCAGGATTCAGCTGGAAAGGCCTGGGAGTAGGCAGAGATTATAAATAACAGGGGCTATACTCCTCACTAGGGCCAGAGGTCAGCATGAATCTTACCTCCCCAAACCCCACTTCTGTCCTTTCTCTGAGCATAGAGACACAAGCATAGAAATGCACATGTACACATTCACACAGCCAGCAGATCCTGCCAAAGATGCTCCCTGAGGCCAAATTCCCATAGGACAACCCTCACAACTAAAGACAACCATCACATTCAACAAGTAGATGCTCTTGCCACCAACAAGGAAAGACTGAAGGCTGAACAAGATATGAAGCTTTGCAAACTGAGGACCCTACACCCTCTTTCCTAGCCTTTGCCAGGGGTTGGTGGGAGGGGGAAAGAGCCAATAGCACTAACTGACTTGCCTCAGCCTCCCTCCACTGCTGCCTGGGGGCAGGTCTCTAAACCTCTTTAGGTTCCCTAAAATGTCACTATTTGCTGAGGAGTTATGTGGTGAAGCAAGACAGGAAAGCTTGGACCATCTAAAGGAGTTTAAGTACAGGGCCCTACCATTTGCTTTAGAGGCACCTGGGAACTGTGTCCCTGCCAGGTTACTGCCCACCCGCCTGCCTGCTAAAAGAGCCACAGCAAGTTCCGCTGAGAACAAAAAAGGAAGCCTTGGTGTCTTCAGGAAATCGAAAAACAAACCACAGAAGTGTGTACACAGAGCAGCAGGGGGAGACAGGGACCTGGTTTGTTCCCACTTCCCTCCTGGCTCAGTAGGAACCCTGGCCCCATAGAGGTGCACAAGGGAAAAAGCATCACCTTCCTGTCAAGCAGCTGTGATGCATACTTGGACAGTGGGCCCAACTACCCTAAATGTCATAGACTCAGTGGGGAGACAGCAGAACTCAGTCCTCTCAATAGCCTGGTCTCTGTGATGCCTGCTCTTCTACTCAGACTCCCATGGCAAAGATGGGAAGGCTGATGGGGGCAGGGCAAAAGCCAAGGGAAGCTGCTTTTCCGTCACCCATGCAGACACACACACACGTGGCCTCCACTTTGCCCACAGAGGCCAGGGCCAGAGGATTTTGCTGAGTCAAAGCATATGGCGAGAAGGAAGGAGGAGAGATATAGACTCACATTTCCAGGAGGTTATCTGAGCACAGCAGAGGCAGAGTGGACCACAGGATACCTCTGGGACTCAGACTCCCACTTCCATTCCACCCAAGTCTTCGCTGATACTCATGAGTCCCCCAGGAGGGGGTGGTGGGAAAGAACTGGGCACAAGCAGTGGATAGTGGTTCACAAAGGGGATACCCAGACCTCAGAAGCAAAACAGAAGGTAGAAAGCTGCCTGCCTCAGGATTCCCAACAGCAGAGGGCCACAGGCTCCCAGTTGGAGGAAGTAAGGCCCAGAGAGGTCAAGGAATACGGCTCAGGTCACCCAGCCCATGGAGAGCTAAATTAAGAAGTTAGGGCTTTCCTAGGGCAATGGAAAGAATATGTCTTTTGGCGTCTCTGGGTTCTCATGCTAGCTATGCCACTAATGACCTGAGCATGTCATTTCCCTTTCTTGAGCCTCAATAGTTTCACCTGTCTCATGGGATAATGATCTCAATTTTGCAGGTGAACCTGAAGCATCCAGCTGAATGCATAGCAAAGAGTCAGGATCAAGGAACAAGAGAATGTCATGTCTGCAACCTCCCCTCCAACTCCCATCCTCAGTTATGTACTCCTTTCACTATTCAATGAATGGCGGGAAGTTAGAACATGTAGTTTTCTCACCAGAGCCTAGGGCAACTGCCACCGGTCCCTGTCCAAGCTACGCTGGAAGCAGAGAGGCAGTAGACAGTCTGAGGACAGTCTCCTTTCCAGGCACATGCTGTGTGCACTCTGCCCCAGGGAAAATGCCAGATGAGGCCTAGAGACTCAGGGGCCATGTACTTCTGGACAGACACTATGGGGCTTCTAAGGTTTTATGAAGAAAAGCCAAGGGCAGCTCAGTCAGGGGAAATGTATAGCCATAGTGCTGATAAGGAAAGGCCTTCAACCTTCCATGGTCAGCTCTTCCTGTAAGCTCAGACGTCTTACTGGAAGGTCCCAATGGGGGGAAGGGCCAGAGGGTGTTTGGGGAATATAGCTAAGTGAACACATGAGCAAATATTGTTCTCAATATGGGTTACTGCACAAGCCGGGTCTTCACTAGTCCCAAGGTCTGCCCCAAAGACTGCTCAAGACCCAGATGCCCAGCTGCATTATCCAACCCACATTCCACCAGAAGCCCTGCTTACCCCACAACCAGTCTGAGATCTCAGAATAGGACCTAGCCCTGAACAGGCTCCCACCTATTCTTTCTTTGCTTTCCTCTGGTCTAAGATGCCTCCAAACCTCTTTCTCTAGGAACCATCTTAAGGAGAACAGACTTGAACCACAGGGGTAGAAGGATTGGGAATTTCCCAGCCCAGCAGAGACCACTGCCCGAACCTCCTCTGTTTAGTAGAAAGGAGGAGGCAACCACTCACCGCAGCTTTCTTTCACCCATTCAACAAGCATTTGTAACTCTGAGGTACCACTGAGAATAGCATTCTGGCTTTACCAATGCTACTGTTCTATGAGGGGCTACTATGCTGTCAGGCACTAAAGGGATTTACTGAAGTCATCTCATTTAACTGTTACAACACTGGGTCTTTTAGCCTCATGTTACAGACAAAAAACAGGCTCAGGATAAAAAAGCTGCTTGCCCAAGGTCACACAGAGAATCAGTAGCACAGCCAGGAGTGGAGAATGGATCAGTCCAGCCCACCAGCAGGCACGAAAAGGAAAGGAGTATACCCACAGATTAAGAATAACGGACCCAGAAGGGATTTAAAGGAGCCCTTCAGAATCAATGCCACTTCACAGATGGGACAATAAAAGTTATGAGTGAGGGCCAGAACAAGAAGAGACAGAGCTCCTGACTCCCAGCTCAAAGCTCCTATCAGAGGACACTTTGTATGGAAGATATCAGCGCCCCAGAAGAATCAGATCACACTCCCAGCTTCCCCCGGGTGCTAGCACAGGGCCTCATGACTGCTTGTTGGGTTTAAACTGGAAAGTAAATTGTATTAAGGAATTATTAATTTTGTTAGGTATGATAATGGCAGTTTGGTCATGTTGAAAGACAGACAGACAGACACACAAACAGACTGACCAACCAACTGACTGGGACCCTATTTGTCAGAGAACGATAACAGAAATATTTACAAATGAAATGACCCAACGTTGGGGTTTTGCTTTAAAAATACTCATTTCAGAAGAGTGAGAAAGAGTGGGCAGGGCAATGGTGAAACAGGGCTGCCCATGTGTTGATGACTATTTGGAAGGTGAATGGTGAGTACATGAGGGTTCACTATTGTCTCTACTTTTGTGTTATTTTTTTTTAAAAGGTCTATGATCCCAAGGTGAAAGTAGTGTGCTGTGGTAAAGAGCCCTCCAACTAACCTAACCCAGACTCCAACTCCTAGTTCTACCATGTACTTTCTGACTCTGGGGAAATCATTCCCCATTTCTGAGCTGCTTTTCTCATCTGACAGATGGATGCAACAGTCCTAACACTTACTCAGCTTGGGGAAGAATTAAAAGAGCTTTCCTGTAGTGCCTGACAAAGCAATCTGTCCCTAAGTAATGTTATTTTCCTTATCGCTATTGTGTTGTTATTACTCTCACACCACCACACTGCCTCATGACCAAGAGCTAGGGGCCAGATACTAACTTGAGGCCGGGGCCTGGAGTCTCTAAAAGACTAGTTTACTCTGTCTCCAACCCTGCTTCAGGGGTTACTCCTGACAACTGGGACACTCAGGGGCAGCCCTAGGCAATTGAAGGCTGAGGCAGAGACTCACCTACAGCCCGGAAGAGACAGGCGCCGTCCTCCTTCATTTGCTTGATGATGAAGCCCTTCTTGTCTCGCAGGGCCTTTTCAAACCAGTGCTCCTGCTGCAGGGAAGAGGTGGGGGGGTCAGCATCAGGAAAGGCCTGTACCCCCTCCCCAGAGCTCTGCCCTTGAGCTCCTGAGAGGCCCAGCTGATTGGCTGAGAGGACACTGGGCAGGGTCAAGTTCTCAGCCCTGTTTGACCATTCCATGCATGTGGAGCAGGAGACCTTTTCCTTTAAGGAAGCAATCACTGTGTGAACAGAAGACTTACTCCCAGAGGGGCCCCAGCTGCATTCTGCCTCCTGCTGACCATGCTGGGAATCCAATGCAGGACCTTCCCCTAGGCAGCCAGAGGCCCAGGGCTGGCAACTACGGGGAGAGAGGTAACCTGGCTCTACCTAAAGGAGTTTCACCTGGGGAACCTCTAGCCGCTTAGGGTAGGAGAGATGTTCAGAAGGGAGTTATTGGTAAAATCTTGAGCCCCACATATAGCTAGGGAATTCCAAGATCTTGTATAAGGCAAAATGTATGCAAATTATCATTTTAGTTGTACTTGAACACATTTAACATATATACATACGCCTATGCATACAAACACATATGCACACGAAGTTGGGAAGGCTATGTAACAAAATATTAGCCCTAAGTATTGGTATTGCAGGTGATATTACTTCACCTCCTTCTTCATAGGAGGTATACAATCCCTTGTCCAAAATTCCAAAACTCGAAAAGCTTTGAAAACCAAGTCTCTAGTTAACTCATTTGGCATCACTGCTTAACCTGGACTGATGAGAACCCATTTATCCCACTTGGAGGTGAATAGTCAAACATATCCATGAAGAAGCATTTGGGTGTTTGATTATGAGGTGCTGCTGCCACAGACCCCACTGGAGGTGTTACAGATACACAGTATATACACAGTATATACACCAGGTGACCTTTGTAAATTCTGAAATTTTTCTAAATTCCAAAGCACGTCTGGCCCCAAAGGTTTGGATTAAGTGAACCTGTACAAAAGTGTATTTTCAAACGTGTTTTTAAAAGTAATGCAGAGATGACAAGAGAGAATACAGAGGCTTTTCAGGGCAATGAACTATACTATGATACTATAATGGTGGATACATGTCATCATACATTTGTCGAAACCCCTAGAATGTACACCAAGAGTGAATCCCAATAAAACAACTATGGGACATGTACACAATGGAATTCTACTCAACCGTAAAAAAGAAGAAAATTTTACCCTCTGCAACAGTATGGATGGACCTGGAGAACATTATGCTAAGTGAAATAAGCCAGTCAGAGAAAGACAAATACCATATGATCTCACTCATACGTGGAACCTAACGAACAAACTGAACTAACATGCAAAACAGAGACAGACTCATTTGGATGAAAGCTAGGTAGCGGGGGCGGGGGGACGAGGTTAGAGGGTGGAGGAATTGAGCAAAAGGGAAAAAGGACTCATGGACACAGACAAGTGCAGTGATTGCTACGGGAAGGGGGTTTAAGAGGACAAAATGGTACTGGAAAAAATATAATAAAGATTTTATACTTAAAGAAATGACATAAAATTAAAAAAGAGTGAATACCATTGTAAACTATGAACTTTGGGTGACTGTGATGTGTCAGTGTAGGTTCATTAATTGTTATAAATGTATCACTTTGGTAGGGGACGTTGATAATGGAAGAGGCTATGCATATGGGGGGGAGGGCAGGGAGTATATGGGAACTCCCTGTACCTTCTGCTCAATTTTGCTGTGAATCTGAAACTGCTCTAAAATATAAAGTCTATTAAAAAATATGATGTCTACATGGCACTTAAAACATATTTTCCATTTCACAACCAAACTAAAAGCAGAAGACCTTTCCCAGGCCCCTCACGCCCTCTGCTGGTTATCAGAAGAAGCCAGCCTGATCCAGTATCAGGGCTAGGAACCAAAAATCCAAGCCTGCTCCTTGGGGACACCACGCTGCCTAGAGATTTATAGGATCCAGGCAATTGCCAACCAGAGGGAATCACCTCTCTGTAGGCCATTTTTCTCCAGCTCAGGTGACAGAAATTCCTAGCAAAGTAGGAAGCACAAGGTTTGGAGGCCAAAAGTTCTGGGTTTCAATCCCAACTCTGTCACTCACTTGCTGCATGATTTTGGGTAAGCTCCCTGAATTCTCCAAGCCTTAGTTTCCTATTAAATGGGGGATATGTGACATACCTGAAAGAGCTGTCAAGAGGATCAGAAGAGCTTCAGGACCAGAAAAGGCTTTGTAAATAATGTACTATATACTGGTTAGGTGGTCACCAGTCAGAGAGGAAGGGGTGAGACCAGCCCAGAGATAATGTACAAGTGAGAGGCCCTCAGAATGTCCCAGGTGAGTGGCTGGACAGGAGGGGATGAAGAGGGGGTGATAAGGTAATATCCAGCAGCCCCGCCATCAGGGCCCAACCCTGGGAAGGTATGGCTGGCTGGCTTTCTAAAGATGACAAAGGCACTGGGAAGCCATGGGCACAAAGACTCTTGTTTGTGCACAACATTTCAGCAGTCCAAATGTCCCTCCTGCTCCAGAGGCTGTGGACTAGTACACTCCAGCCAGTTCCCCCAAATCCATCCCTGCCCCACAAGATCAGCTATCTCCCAGCACTGCAGCACCTGTCCTAGCCAGGGTTCTCTAGCAAAGAAGCTGCAACTACGGCTACAGCCTCAGACTAGATACAAAGAGTTGTATTTAAAAAAAAAAAGGGCACACAACAACCTCATGCCCTCAAGTGTTGGGGGAAAGACGATAAAAGGGGATGAGAGGGGGCTACTACTTATTTATGCAACAAAGGGTTAGCAGGTAGCTACTAAGCCAGGCCTTGGGCTGGCAACGAGGCCAGAAAAGTGAATCAGACTTGCTCTCTGCCCTCCATAAGCTCACCAACTGCTAGAGGGGTAGGGGAAAAGGCAATGCCTTCAAACAAGTATAAAAAGAGCTGTGAAAGAGATGAACACAGGGGTGCTGGGAAATACAGAAGGGACCTAGCCAGTCATCAGGCTGGCACCTGAGAGGAGGTACCACCTGAGCAAAGGATTAAAACACCAGTACCTCCAGAAAAACTTGTGAATTGGGTAAGAAATCACTTCTGCCATAAAGTACCAGGGATGCTGGAGGCCAGCAATGAGTTCAGCAGAGCTAAAGTCCTGGGTAGGACTATGAAGGTAAGCAGCGCAGGACCAGAAGAAAGATGAACTCATGTAAGCCAAATGCCTGCCCCAAGCCAGGTGCCAGATGCAAAAAGTGACCTCTTAATTGTCATTACCACAGCCTGGATGGCAAGAAGCATTATCCTTATTTTGTGAAGGCAGAAAAGACCTGAAGTTTGGGCATCAGCAAGGCCTAGTGTATAGGCAACAGGAGAAGCCTCATGAGCCACAGCATGGAGACAAACTTGGTCACCCATCCTGGGGAAAGCCTGGTTTGTCCCTAAAAGTGAAGAATGCCTGAGCATACCATTTGCACAAGCAGGGCTTTGGTCCTGGGGTAGTCAGAGTAGCATGTGGGCTTGGATCTGGAGGCCAGGCCACTACCCACCCACTGACTTTGGCACCAGCAGGCTTAAGACCCCAGGCTAAGTCTGAAACCCCCTCTCTCTCCCTGTAGGGAGAGAAAACGGAGATCTTGGTCCTGGGTTCCAGAAAGTTTATACAGTCCCAAGAGCTCCTAGCACAGTCTCTTCCTTCCCCCAGCTGGACAGGAGCCTCCAAGGAAGGTGCCATCTTGGAAGTTGTTTAAGAAAATGGCCCAGGAAGCACAGACTGGTGGGAATGAGGGGTGGGGGCTGGCCCAGCCATACAGAAGTTTAAGCTATATCAATGCCCTGGCCTGAGGAAATCGAGTACAGACCCTCAATCTTGAAAGCCCATTACTGACCCTGTGGGCAAGTCCATCCACACCTCTGAGCCTCCACAAAGGGGCTGGACAAAGACTTCTGACACCAGGGGATCCTAGGTGCAAGACTGCAACCTACTAGTCCAAAAGCTCAAGAAATGTTAAATAGGCATATGGCATAATAGGCATAATGGGCAGACTCAAGGACTCTGCCCAGGAGAGCATTTAATGAGTTCCCTTCCCCTCCCTGGAATGCAAATAAGAACACCCCTGTAGTAAGCTGAATAATGACCACTCAAACATATCAGGACCTTATCCCTGGTACCTGTAAATGTCACTTTACAAGGAAAAGGGGTCTTAGCAGGTGTGATTAAGTTAAGGATGTTGAGATGCAGAGATTATCTTAGAGTATCTGGATGGGACCTAAATGCAATCACAAGTGGCCTTAGAACAGCAGAGGAAAATCTGATACAAACAGAAGAGGAAATCATACATAACACAAAGATGTAAAGACAAATGGAGGTTAGGATAATGGGCTCACTAACCAAGGGATGCTGACAGCCCCTAGAAGCTGGAAGAGGACTGGGTTTTCCTCTCAAGCCTCTAGAAGGCACACGGTCCTGCCAACACTTCGATTCTGGACCGGTGAAAATGATTTTGTACTGCTGGCCTCCAGAACTGTGAGAGAATGTATGCTTGTTGTTTTTAACCACCTAGTTTGCAATAATTTGTCACAGCAGCCACTGGAAAATAATACAGCCCCCTGGCAGCATTCCTGCTGTGAGGCAATGTCATATGGCTATCACCCCATAGGATTCATCCATCCAGCATCAACCCCCCCACCCAAGAGAGAGGGTTAGAATTAAGGCAGCTGAGACCTAGATTCCCTCACAGCCTGGGAAGCTACTGACCCTACTCATCAATAAATGACCTGCCACTGAAGGAAGGAGGACACAGGAGATGGTAGCAGCAATGGCAACTCACAGACAAATGTCTTCCCAGAGCCCACGACAAAGGGGTATTTAGTATTCTTGGCTTCAGAGCTCTGTCCCAGCAAGCCTGGTGCCAAGACCACCTCTCTCCCCGCTAAAACACCCAAGAACCAGTGCATGGCTCAGCTCCATGCGCAAAATACTTCCAATGAGAAACACAGACAGATGCACTGCTCTCTAAGAACACAAGCTCTTCAGGGCAGAGGGATGGGAAAAGAGCAAGGCTCTAAAATCTAATGCCAGGCCACTGGGGGGCAGGATTTAAAAAACGAAGATTCTATTATTATGTGACAAAAAGAAATGAAGTACTGATCCATGCTACAACATGGATGAGCCTTGACAACATTATGCTGAGCGAAAAAAGCAAGTTACAAAGGACTGCATATTGTATAATTCCATTTCTATCAATCATCCATAAGAGAAAAATTGATCAAGACCAAAAGCATATTAGTGGCTGCCAACAGCTGGGGGTAGATGAGGGGACTGGGGGATGATGATACTGTTCTAACCTTGACTGATCATGGTGATGTACACACAACTCTGTGAGTACACTAAAAGCCACTAAATTTTACACTTTAAATTGGTGAATTGCGTGGTCTGTGAGTTATGTCTCAATAAAGCTGTACAAATTTAAAAAACAACACCACCCAAGAACCTATCACACTGGCCAGGGAGAAGTGGAACACTGCTTGAAATTTTGCAGCATATCCCCAAAAGTCAAGGGGCCCCACCCAAAATTTTTGCAATGGTTTGGGGGAGTGGGGAACAGGGAATTAAAGAAAGGGTTACAACTAGTTTCAGAACACTGAGTCCAATCTCCCTCCTCACCACTACCCATTTTATGGATGGAGAAACTGAGGCTCAGCAAAGGAAACTGCCCAAAGATACAGACTCAAATCCAGATCACCCAGGCAGGGACCACTTCATGCTATACCACTCTGCCTCCCCATTAGAGAAATCGGCAGGTTCCTAGAAGACAAATGAAAGATGTTTGCTAACAAAGACTGGTTGTTACAAAAAGGCTCCTAGGAAGAGCCCAGATGACCCTAGGGAAACAGCAAGAGAAGAATCAGCCAAGGTCTGATGTGGGTCAGGTCAGGTATGTACATACCCTATCACCTGAGCATGAGTTAACCTTTGGAAGAAAAAAAAGGCGGGGGCAGCTAAGCATTTACCCAAAGCTGTAAAGTAGCTAAACAGGAGACCCTGGGGTTTGAACTAAGGCCTACTCAGTGCCAAAGCCCAAATTCTTTCTACACACAATCCTACCTCCACACATTCCAATAGGCCCCCTGACAGGCACCCCGAGCTTATTCACCATAGCACAAGTGGCCAAAAAAATCACTGTCCACCCACCCTGAACCTCAAACCAAACAGGCTGCTTGTCCTGCCCACCAACCTTGGATGGCTGGGAGAAAACAGGTGCAGGAGAGAGGGGGAGAAAGCCAGTTCTTTCTCAAGACACCTACCATTCTCTGTCACCTCCAGGTCCAGAGGGCTTTGGTGTGAGCTCTCTAAAATCCCAAAGCTAAATGACACCCCATCTTACCTGACCAATGAGAAAAGAGGCCCAGAGAACAGGGGCAGAACTATTCTGGTTTATCCAGTGGAGCCCCAGCAGAGCCTGAGTGGGAACCCAGGCACCTTGACTATAATGCTAGGTCTAGCTTCTTCCACCACCTCAGCAAGCATGCCCCGTTCTCAAAAATGCTCTGTGGGGTCTTCAAGCTGAGGATGTTTTCAAACCATTCTTTTCATACAGTAGACTCTCAGCAAGGTAGCTGTGCCTGGGAAAGGAAACCCTTGACCGTAAGCTGCCAAAAAGGTTCCTAAAAGTAGCAGAGGTACAGTCACAGTATCAGGACAGTCTGAATAGTTAGAACAAGGACTAGATTTACCATGTGGGCTCCCTCTCAACAACTCCCCTCTTTCCCAAGGGATATAACTGGCCTCCAGGCTACAAGTGCGCTGGTGACAGTTCAGGACCAAGACTGGAACAGCAGAAAGAAATCTCCCCCTCTTATAATCCTCAAAAGGTCCCAAGTTGGACCAGGTGAGGCAGGAAGATGCTTCTTCCTGCCTCACCTTCCTCCTTTTGTCCCAAGAAGTGTGTGGACAGGAAGCCTCTCCTCTATAGTTAAGAAGGAACGATATCATGCAACCACAGAGCTTTACTTCCATGTTCTTATGGGGACAAGTGTAAGGGAGGAACTCCCAGACTAGGAGATGCAAAGGGAGTATAAGGAGGTGTCATTCTAGTCATCATGGCAGCATGCGACTTTCTTCCTCTCTGTCCCTGGGACTGGGAATGTAGCTCTCCCTATTTCTGTGGGGGAGGAAAGGCAGACTTTACCCCAACCAGGGAGAGAAGAAACAACTCCTGGTCCTGACTCTGTGGGTCCAGATGATTTATCCTGCCTGGAGTAGTAATGGGTGGAAAGGCAACAAGGAGGGAGGCTCAAGACAAGGCCCGCGCCCCTGTGAAGTACAGAACAACTTATTTGAGCCGAGGGGGACAGAGATATGGGTGGAGAATTTCCCTGGAGTGGGAATGTCCCGAACTCATTTCCTGTCTCTGGGAAGAAAAAAGCTTGTTAAAAGCAATTCAGGAAGCTCAGAGTATTTCCCTGATCCTGAATATGAGAAGCAAGCAGAACTAGGTCAGAGTGAGTCTCAGGATATCTCCTAGTTCTTGAGGGGAGACCTGAGTCCCCATGTCCCCAGTAACTGACACTCTTCTCATAGAAAGTAAGGGGACCTTTCTGGCCTGAGGGTGAGGGTTTCTTATGATTGTGAAGAGCACCCACACCTTTCTATCCAATGGGGGAGGCCTTAGACCACACTAGGGTGGTGCCTCATGTTTTTCTCCCTGGTGATAAAGGATTACCTGGGGGGGATGCTTCATACCCATGTGGGTGTAGGGCTCAGGCCCCTCCCTGAGGTGAAGGATCTTTTGTCCCTGGGGGAAAGCTTAGGCCCCTGGGAAGAGGCTCATATTATTTTCCTCAGAATCCCACCTTACCTATGTCCCCAACGGGAAAGAGCAGTTCTCAGGACTTAGTACACAAGTGAAAGGTGGTCTTAGGCTCAAGTCCCCAAGGCAGAAAATCTTGTCCTTAAAAGGTCCCTATGACTTGGGCATGTGTATGCTGTCTGAAGTAAGGTGATGGTCAATACTCTCAGGGCATGTCCAGGTCTCAGGTCCTAAGATGGCGGGGGCGAGTATCTCATGTACAAGAGGGAAAGATCTTGGGGGGAAGAGGGGAAGGCTCAGAACCCTATTCCCCAAGAACTCTGTATCCATGCCCCCCAAGGGAAGGGTCTCGGAAATCAATTCTGGTGGTGGGGAGTCCTATTTCTGAGGGATACCTTAACTTCCTTGAGGGGGAAGCTCAGATCTCATCTACAGAGATGCAGCAGTCACTGGAGTACATTAAGGGCCTCTTGTCCTTGAGGGAAAGCTCAAGTGTCCTTGGTAGAGTGGGTCTCGGGCCATTGAAGGCAGGCTTAGATTCATGGGGAGGCCTCAGACTCCATCTCTGGGACTCCATGCTGCCTAAATCTCAGGCTATAGTTCCCAAGGCAGAAATTTTACATCCCTGACAGGAAGCTTAGGCACTTGGAGGGGGGATGCTTAGATCCCTGTTACAGGGGGAGAGGGTCCTATTATGTTCCTAAGATGTGTTTCAGTCCTTCATAATTGGGTAGGAGCTCATATCCCGGTGTGTGCATGTGTGTGCATATGTGTGTCAGGGAGGGGGCCTTAGGCCCCTAAGGAGAATCACTCAGACAAAAGGTCCTGAGGAGAAAGGTCCCCTAAAGACTTCATCTTGCCTAGGACTTCTGTGGGAGGATATCAGTCTCCTAAAGAGGATTCGGGCCCAGTCTCTGAAAGGCTGAGTCCTTACAAAACAGGGATCTTAGGCTCCAGTAGCCAAAACAGTGAGTCTCATTTTCTTGAAGAAAGGCTCAGGCCTTATGGGAGTAGGGGAGAGGGGGCCAAAGGTCTATCACTTAAAAGAAGCTTACGTTCCTGGAGAAAGATTCAGACTCTTGTCCCCAAGGTAGTCTCTGAGAGAAAGCACAGACCCTTGTTACTTAGAGAATGAATCTCATGTACCCCAGTATAGTTTCTGATCTCTGGGTACTGATTTTGGCTCTTGTCCCCAAGGGGAAGGGAATCTTACCTCCCCAAGAGAAGTCATGTCCCTGGAGGAAAGCTCAGAAGATCCCTCTCTCTAAAGGGGATGTATGTGTGTTAGGCTCTTGAAAGCGGGCTTAGGACCCCTGAGGAAATCTCAGATCCCACTAGGGAGGGTCCTGTGCTGTGTCCCCGAGAAGGAAGGAGAGGGGTTGTCCTACACAGAGTGTCTCAGACCCCTGAAAAGGTTTAGGTATCTTGGGGACACTCAAACATCTCTGAGGTCTCCACCTTACTTGTGTCCCCTGGAGAGGAAGTCTTAAGACTCTTATCTCAGAGAGAAAAAAAATCTCAAGCCACTGAACACAGACCAAGGTCTCTTGGAGAGTCATAAGACTCCCCTCTCAGGAGACATTTCATCCTGCCTGTGTTTCTTGGGGCGTTCCCACCTATTGGCCCTATAAGTTGAGGTTCCAGGGCGCCGAAGAGGCCACAGGCCCCAACTTTAAGTCCTCGGTCTTATCTGGGGCTTCTAACCTCAAGTCCTTGGGGGAAAAAGGGAGGGGGAAGAGGGTGTCTTACACCCCTATCACCAGAGAAAAAAAAGTATTAGGTTCCGGGGCAGGACGTTCAAGTCCCTTGGGTCCCCACCCAATTTGGGGATCCCATCCACCCTTCCCGCTCACCTGTCATCCCCAGCCCATACCTGTTCAACAGTGGCAGGGTCCATGGCCTCGATGCGTGCTGCAGCCGCTTCATACTCATCCTCACTGTTGTAACCTGCGCCGACCTCCTCACGTTCCGGACTGCCCCCTCCAACTGAACCAACCCCGGGGGCTTGACGCCGCCGCTTGCTGTGGCCAGGCCCGGAGCAGCAGCTGCCAACGCCCACCGTGCCGCCCACGCCCACCACCACGCCCGCCGCGCCCACACCTGCTGCAGATGCACCCAGCGCGTCTCCCGGGCCGCTGCCAGGACCGCCCGGGCCCCCACAAGGAGGAGGAGAGCCCTGCTGAGGCCGGGGGCCCGGCACCGCGCCAGGCTGCACTGCCAGCGCCCAGCGGTGAAGTGCTCCCGGTGGCCCCGGCAGCGGGCCTTGAGGTGGCGGTGAGGCCCGCTGTCGGGCCCCCACAACGCCCGACTCACGGTCGCCGCTGCCCACGCCCGTGCCGCCGCCGCCCACGCCCACACCCCCGCCGCGGCGCGGCGCCGGGGGCAGTTGCCCAGGCGGCGGCGGCTCGTTGGCGGGGTCGGCGTCGGGAGGCGGCGGCTTCTTTTTGGGGAGAATAGTCATGGCGGGACAGCTGAGTACCCCCCCAGCAAACCCGGCGCGCGGCACGCTGGGAGAGAACCCGGATGAGGGGCTAATATGGTGCGCGAAGCACGACGGGATCGTCTGGATCCGGATAAAGAGATTGAGGCACCGGCTCGAGAACCGTAGGCGGCACGCGGGTCACGCGACAGAAGAACCCGGATGTGAAGTCCAAGATGAAGGCAAGTGCGGCGAATGTCGTCGCCTACTCTCCGAGTTCGGCTAGTTGATTGCTACGCTTGTTCCGGCCTTCCGCTTCAAAGGAAACAGAACCAAAACAAGCACCTTTTCGCCCCGCCCCCTTGCAAGTTCCTGAACTACCGGGTGGGGCCCCGGGGCGTCGCGCACGCGCGCCACAGCACAGCCCCCGCCTCTGGTACGGAAGTACGTGGGCAAAATCTTCGCCGCCGCCACAACAGTTGCAGGCACCAACCAATTGAAGCGACTGCGTGGGTCCTCGTTGACGCCCAAGGACCAATCAGAGGCGGGTAATCGCCCTGCTGTGCCCTCCGTCTCAGGTGTCAGTCAAAGTCGGCACCCTGGTTCCTGGCCTTTTTTCTCGTTCGCGAAGTCCTGTTCTTCTCTCCCTGAGGCTTTGACTCGCAGGCAGGGGTACTGCGACAGAACAGCCTGCCTGGCCTGCCCTGCACACGACAGTTTTAAAAGGACCTCCCTTCCAGGCTTCCAACTTGACCGCTCTCAGACGGACTGACAGGAAAATATCAACACTCCCAGAGCAGAGCAATCCTCTGAAGCGTCAGTTCCGGTCCCACCCACCTGCAAATCCACACCAGTGGAGAAGCGGGCGCCGCTTCACTCTGACAACAGGCTGAGTGCTGCGGTGATTGGTTAAGAGATGCAGTCACTCGCGTCGGACAGGCCAACCTTGTGACAGGCAAGCACCGAGGGAACAGTAGGTGTTTGGGAAGCAGATACGCCCTCTTTGGCACTACCACACTGTCGCCCCCACGTTGACCTCCCCGCCCCTGCGGCTAGTGCGCAGGCGCGCGTGTGTGTGTGTGTAAAGCTGAGTTTACCTGGCTCGAACAAAATTTTATGTATTCATCTCTGTCACCAGCCAGAGTTTCACAATGGAGTTGATAAAACTCTGCTACTGAGCGGCTGGAGAGTTACAAACTGTGTGTGTGTGTGTGTGTGTGTAAAACTGAGTTTACCTGGCTCGAACAAAATTTTACGTATTCATCTCTGTCACCAGCCAGAGTCTCACAATGGAGTTGATAAAACTCTGCTACTGAGCGGCTGGAGAGTTACAAACTAATCCTAGCCTGCTCGTCCAGTATGAATGATCTCCGGCAAGTCATTTAATATCCACCCCATCCTCAATTTCTATTTCTCTGTAAAATGGCAATGATAATTCCAATTTAAGGATGAGAGATTCATGCTTGTAAAGGGCCTGGTAGTGTTCCTGGCACATAGTAAGTGCCCAGTAAATTAGTCGGCATGACAGTGCACTGGGAGGATCCCAGGCTTTGGAGTCAGAAGACCTCAGTTACCAACTATAGGACTGCGCAAATCATTGTGCCTCAAATTTGAGGTAACCCATATGTAAAACAGGAATGATTATGCCTTCCCAGACTACTTCAGGGAGTAGTTAGTTACAGGGTTCCGATGAGTTCATGAACCAAGAGGCTGTTACAGAGGCGAGAGCTCGCTTGCTATGTCTTGGGAGCCAAGCCATACAACAGGTTGACTGAAATAGAGACCATCAAAAAGCTCTTCTGAGTGCCACTTAACCTTCTCCCTTCAGATGCCAACCCTAGTTGAAATACTCCCTGAAGGGTGTCAGTAATAAATACGCTATTGTGTTTTTTGACGATGGGACTTAATGAGAGAGGACTCATGTTTACTGAAGGGTTTTTTGTGTGTGTGTTCAGGGCACTGTGCCCAGGGCATATACATGTTATCACATTGAATCTTCTCATGACCATCTCCCTTGACCCATATATCCCACTCCCTACTGGATATTTGTCCAGTACCACAAATCTAATACTGAACTTATGATAATAATTGTAGCTAATCATCACCAAGTATTTACTATGCGCCTGGCACTGTATGCTAAAAGTTTTGATGTTCTCTTTGATGGTAGATGGCACCCCCCAGCCTTTGCCCAAACGAGAACCCTAGGAGTCAGCCTTGCTTCTTCCTCAATTCCCAGATGCCCATCAATCCCAAGCACTGCCAATTCTACCTCTCAAATCTTTTGACTCTCCAGCTCTTACTGCCACTACCTGGTCAAGCCACCATCATCTACCAGTTAAACCACTAAAAAAGCCTCCTCACTGCTCTTCTTCTAGGACTGTTTTCTCTATAATCCACTATCCACAACCAGAATGATCATCCTGAAACACAAACCTCATGATGACTTTCCTGTTTATAAGCCTTTAGAAGTCCCCACTACCCTTAAGATGAAGTCCAAAATCTGTATCCTAGCTTCAAAGGCCTTTCGATATCTGGCTTATTGCTATATCCTCTCCCTCACCAGAGCCTCACACACTCCTTCCCAGCTCCAATTTCAGTTCCCTGAAGTCCCCAGGCTCACCCTCTAACCTTCAGGTATTTTGCACATGCTGTTCCCTCTGCCTGAAACATTTTTATCCTTTTGTCTTTTACTTGGCTAACTGCACCTCATTTTTTGTGTGTTAGCCAGGTTAGTTTCTCCTGCCATCTACGTGCTTCTGTAATCCATCGATCTTAGTTCTCCTGCACTATATTGTAATTGCTTAGTTGCCTTCCATGCTCACCTCTGTAGAACAGAGATCATGTCTACTTCGCTCATCTCTATATCCCCAGGGCTAACACATGATGTCCAGTTACTCACATGATATGAGTAAAAGAATGATTATCTCTGTTTCACAGACTAGCAGCCTGAGGCAAGAGAAGGTAAGTAATTCTCTTCCCCCGCCCAGGGACTGGAACTCAGGTCAACCTGAATCCAAGGTCTGTCATCTTGATGCTGCACAGAGCTCAGTCACACACTGCCCAGTAGCCCAGAAGAGAAAACGTAGGGAACATCCACCCGGAAGGAGAATTTGCCACACTGGAAGAGGCTTTTCATCAGGGTTCAATTCAGAGCCGTTTGCTGTCAGGAAACCTGGGTTTAGATCTCCCCCTAACCAAGCATGTGCTGCTCTTTGTGTCAGTTTTTCCATCTGTGAGTTAGGGAGCTGGAGCAGGTGATGTCCAAGGGGGCATGTCTCAGGACCTCCTCGGCTGCCTCACTGGCTGGAAAGTCAACTTTTTCAATCACTCCCTTTTAAAATTTCCCCTAGATCCCCATATTTCAGAACATGTCACCAACCATCTATCTCCCATACCTTTACCCACACCAGCTCTTTTACTAGTTGAAAGGAATTGAAATCAGATTATAACTTTCAACTCCCCAGCCCAGCCCAGCCCCCAAATCCACAGAGCCAGGAAGTGCTCATCCTCATCTCTCCCCTCAGGTTTTATTGACTGATGGAAACTACATCTTTGTCAGCCACCAGTTCCACAGGGACAGTGCTGGGGACAGGGAACCTGAGATGATGCCAGATATCAGCCTGAGTGCAAAAACAAGAGTTCAGGAAGGTGACCCAAGAAGGGGAAGAGAGAGGAATATGTGAAAAGGTGTTGTGGGGGAGGAGGAAATAAAAGAAGTTCTTCCTGCCTCCTACAACTCCCAGAGTTCAATAACAACCCAGGCCTCAGCCCCAGAGGCTTCTGGACTCCTGCCCAAGAACAGGGAATCAGCTCATGATCTCCAAACCCAGCCCAGCCCTTGCTGGTTGCCAGGTGCTTATCTCAGCCAGTCCAGACTCCAGCCCAACCCAGGAAGGAAGCAAACCAGAGGAAAGAGGAGGAATATTAGAAGTGGCCCCTGTGATCAGGGCAGATGTAAATGCTGCAGCAAACTGGGCAGAGGCTTTGCATAATGTCATGGCAGCAGCTGCTATTGCTAGAGTTTGCTGGGAACCCAGCGGAGGATGGGGTTGCGAGGACCCATTCCCAGCAGCCAGGGAAGAGGGGTAGTGTTTGTGCTATCACTGTGTGTTGGAAGAGGCAGCCCCACTCTTGAGCCCCGGCCGGGGGGTGGAAGGTCACTGCTGGGGCCACAGCTCATGAAGCCTGTGGCTGCATTCCAAGCTTTGGAATTTGGGTGCTGTTGGGCCCGGCGGAGGGTGGGGGCCTCTCTAAGGGGCCAGATCAGAGGTGATGGCTCTCGTCCCTGAACCCCCAAGCCTCCACAGCCCAGATAGAGAGAAAAGGAAGTCTCACCTCTTCTCAGGCTAGAGCTCAGATGTTAGGTGGGAGCCTGAAGGCCCGAGGGGAGGAGCATGCAGAAGGCCAACTGAGGGAGAGGGTCTGGTTCCCTCATTGTGCTGGGGCAAGGAGGCTGGGGCCTGATGAAGCCCAATGATTCAGCTCCCACCAGGAAAATAGGGGTGGGGAATGTCCCATTCCCTGGCTACATCCCCACAAAGGAGGCCATTCCATAAAACTCCATTGCATAGTTCTCAGTGGGGGGAAGAAGGGGTCCCTAAGCCTGCCCCTGTCTGTCTCCCAAAAATATGGCTTTGGAAAGGAGTCTCCAAGAATCAAGAGGGGTCTCTGGATGGGCGGGGGCCCCCCCTCACAGGGAAGAGATCTTGACAGTCTCAGGAAGGAGGCAAGGGGTACCCAGGCTGGAGTTCCTAAGGTTGCTGCTGGCCCTGCCACCACCACCGCCACCAGGGGAGGAAGGTTGGCTCTCATCTGGGGTGTTGGCAGGAGGGGTAGGGATACTGATGATGGCAGCCACGAAGTCCCGGCTGTCGCAGTTCAGGTCAAGGCTGTCGTGGGGCTTGGCATTGAGGCTTGAGCGGCTGTGGATAAGGGTGGGAACATGGAAGTTTCTTAAAAAGTCATCTTAATACTTGCCACAACAATCATGACATTTATTGAGCAGCTACTGGATCCCTGGCACTGTGGTAAAGCATTCACCTGCACCCCCAATTATGGTGGTGCAGAGCGAGGGCTCTGGAGTCAGGCAGTCCTGGGTTTGAATCCTGATTCCACTTTTACCACTCTAAACCTCCCTTTTCTCTCATCTGAAGCATGGGATTAACAATAAAGTAAGTCCTCACTTAACATCGTCAATAGGTTCTGTGACTTTAAGTGAAATGATGTGTAAACAAAATAAATTTTAACACAGGCTAATTGATAAAAACAAGGATTAACTTCCTAGGCATCTCATCAATGTTATAATAAAATGACATTGGGAATATTTCTTGGCCATAAAAAAAGTGAAATCTTACCATTTGCAACAGCATGGATGGACCCAGAGGGTATTATGCTAAGTGAAATAAGTCAGCCAGAGAAAGACAAATACCATATGACTCACTTACATAGGGGATCTAAAGAACAATATAGATGAACAAACAAAGCAGAAACAGACTCATAGATACAAAGACCGGACTGTTGGTTGCCAGAGGGGGAGGACTGGGTGAAAAAGGTAAAGGGATTGAGAAGTACAGATTGGTAGTTACACAACAGTCATGAGGATGTAAAGTACAGCACAGGAAATATACTCAATAATATTGTAATAACTATGTATGGTGCCAGGTGGGTTCTAGAAATACTGGGGGAAACACTTTGTAAAGTATATGATTGTCTAATCATGATGCTGTATACCTGAAACTAATACAAAATAATATTGAATATAAACTGTAATTTAAAAAACAAAAACAAAAGCCCAAAACAACATTGAACAAAATGACATTATTCAAGGACCTGCTGTATTTCCTACCTCATAGGGGTTCATGTGAAGATTAAATGAGATAATAAATTATACAAAGTGCTCAGAATAGTGCCTGAAACATAATGAGCACACCGGCAGACACACACACACACAAATGTTACCTGTTATGATTACTCCTTACAATGCCTAAGTCCTCATAATAGTCTACAGTAAGAGCCACATAATCTGGTCCTTGTTCCTTTTTGATTTTACCTCCTACCACTCTCCCTCTCACTCACACCACTCTACTCACTGTAGTTTCCTGGCTGTGTCTCTTGTTAGAGACATACAGACTCATTCCTGCCTCAGGGTCTTTGCACAGGCTGTTTACTCTGCCTGGAAAGCTCTTCTAGATACCTACATAGCTCACTCCCTTGTCTCCTTCAGGTCTTGGTTCAGATGTCACCTCAGCAAAGTCTTCCCTGACCACATGGTTAAAACTACATCACACCCTATTCTACACTCTCTATCCCAATCTCTGATTTATTTTTCCCCTTGGCACTTAACACTCTACATCATCTGTGTATTTGTTTGTTTATCAATGGTCACACCCACTAGAATATAAGTTCCAGAAGGTCAGGGATTTCTGCCTGTTCTATTTACTGCCTAAAGTGAACTGAATTCCTAAACTCCTAAAGTGAACTCCAAAGTGGCAAAAACTGTGCCTAGCATATAGTAGGTGCTCAATAAATGGTTGTTGAAAGAACGGATGAAGAACAAGAAGTTCCAGACAAGATAAGCCCAAGCTCCCAGCATGGAGGAGTTTGGGTTTGATCTTGACTTGGCAGGCCTGGGGTCATGAAATCTCAGACCCTCTGGTCCAAGCTCTGAGCTTCCTCAGGTGTGGCCAGCTGGTGGGGGTTACTTACCTCTGAGAGGCAGGGCTCCTCCGCAGCCCTGCCAGAGTGTCCAACTCCTGCATGCTGCCACGGCTGACCGAGGCAGTGGAGTTGGCAAGGCGAATGGCACGGCGCTTGGCCCTGCGCGGGCAGCAAGAGGATAGAAGGCTTCCGGGACCTACAGGCTGGGAGGACACAGAGGTGCTGCGGCTGGTGCGGCCACCCAGTGAGACAGCACCCAGGGCCTCGTTGAAGGTTAGCTCATCTGTGAACTCATGGCACTGTGGGAAAAAGGGAGGCACGGTCACGAGGTACAGTGTCAAGACACCACACGGGTTGTCCCCACTGCCAGGCCTTTGTTTAGGCCATTCCTTCCTTTCTCAAAGTCGCTCTCTCTCCCCTTCCTTTGCCCATCCTTCAAGGCTCAGCTCTATCAGGCCTCTTCCAGGAAGCCTGCATGATTTCCACAATTAGTAGTGAGCCTCCAATCCCAAGGGGAGCTGGCTTGGTGGCTCTTCATTCTGCTATACCACTTCTCGTTAGGCCTCACCGTTGTCTTCTCTAGACAGTGCAGCAAGTGATGATGTTGTTGTTCAAAAGCAGAACGGTTCCTGATACACACAGCCTGTTCCTCCCCACTGCCATTGTCCTGGAGTGGATGAAACAGAGAAATGAGGTCAGCACCTTTCTCCTCCCATTACTGCTCACACCCAACCCCAGTCTGGGACCTACCCACCTCAAGGCCCCCATTCTGTTTGTACTGCAGGAAGGCGTTGGTGGTACCACTCTTGGCCAACCGGATCCTTGCCAAGCGCACCTTCTACAGAGAGGAGAGAAAGAGTCAGGTGGGTAAACACAACGGGTGACTGACTGGCTTGGGGTCAGGGGGAATAGGAGATACTCAGATGGAAGGCACAGCTACCTGCTGTGCTCGGCGCTTGTCAGCACGCTGGTTCTGGTGGTAGATGCGGCTGAAGTTGGAAACAATGACTGGCACAGGCAGAGCAATGACCAAGACACCACTGAGTGAGCAGATGGATCCGAAAATCTTGCCAGCAATGGTGCTGGGCACCATGTCTCCATATCTGGGGCCAGAGGAGGTGAGCCAAGGTCAAGAAAAGTGTCTACCCACTCCTCAGTCCCCCGCTGCATCCCATCCAACCCAACTCGCTCTGAGACCATGGCCAGGCATTTGAACCCTCTGAGCCTCAGTTTCTTGCACTGAAAAATGTGAGGGATGACCTTTTGGGTCATCAGTGGGGGTTAAATGAGAAATGGGCCCTCAGCCCCTACTATCTGCTGCCCCCATCCAAGCTGTGCACTGGGCATCTGACTCAGCTGGAAATCTATTGATACCTAGCATAGGGGAGAAGGAGGAAATCACAGGCAGTAAATGTAGCCTTCTGGGGAGAGAGTTCCACCTCCACAAGCCAGGTGAGGGGTTCTGAGTCCTGGCAGCAGTGCTCTGTTGGTTTTGTTTGTACCTGTCTTACCTATTCTATGTAGGACCCCTTCCTATTCCCCTAGAGGAAACCTTGAAACTGTCCTTGTATGAAAAAACAGGGGGGAGCCTTAGAACTGCCCCCTCCCTTTCTCCATGCCACCCCCGCCCCATGGAGATGGAGCAGAGCCAATCTTGCCACCTTGTTTCACAGAGGAGGTGAAAACCAAAGTCAGGGAGGTTCATAACTAACTTACTCCAAATCACACAGCATACTTTTATCCTAACTACAGGACCAATCAGATCCCTGCCACAAAAGTGCAGACTCTGCAGTCTTAAGCCTCTAGGCCTTTGTTCAAACTGTGCCCACCCAGCCCCATGGCTCTTCCTTATTTCTTTTTTTTTTATTTTGACTTATTTAAAAGTCTCTCCAACTTGGCCATTTCTGGCTCTATGATGTGTCATCTCAGACTGTTCTCAACTAGAAGACACGAGGAGCTGCCCATCCTCCCAGGGTTATTGTGAAGACTGAACAGGGTAAAAGGCATCAAATTATCCCATTCCAATCCATTCTCAAGGCTCAGTTTTGTTTGTCAACTTAATCCTGAACCTCCAACCAGAATTAATTTCTACTCTTTAGAAACCTCAATTCAATTTTTCTGTACCATTATTAAAGCACTGAGTGTCATCCACTCAGCAGATACTGAGCAGCAAGTGTATACCTAATCCCGGTGATGGAAATTAGAAAAGGCTCACAGTCTCTATCCTAGACAGTGTCTTTAAGAACGACATGAGTTTGGCTGTTCCATTCAATGTTTTTATCCCAACCATTTCATCTCAAGGACTAGCAGTAAAAAAAAAAAAAAAAAAAAAAAAAAAATCATGCTGAAAATATCTTGTTCTGGGGAGCCACAGAGGTGGTGCCCCACACAGCAGATGATTCTAGAGGGTTGAGAGCTATGGGAGCTCAAGATGAAAAAGGGAGTAATAGAAAGCCAGTACCTATTTATCCTGCACGAGAAACTTCCAGAGAACTTTCACAATCATTATGTCACTGAAGTCCCTAAAAAGGGATCATCATTTCTCATTTTACAGAGGGGAAAACAGGCCCAAAGAACACAAGGTCAACAGGAAGAGTATAGCTAAGGCAATCCTTGAACCCAAGTCTCTTGACCAGGAGAATCAAGGCATTGTCAAAGCTGGGTGGAATTTGAAGACTAGTCCAACTTCCTCAGTTTTTACAGATGAGCTAACTGAAGCTAAAATAGAGGGAGCTCATTTACCTAACCTTCTTTTACAAAAATGGTGAGTGTAATTGACTGATCAGGCAGCTCCTAACAGAAGGTCTGCACTCACCCAAGTGTGGTCATGGTGACAATGGTATACCAGAAGGCCGCAGGGATGCTAGTAAAGTTGGTCTTGTTTGTGCCCTTCTCAGCGTAAAACATGACAGTGGCAAAGATGATGATGGCCATGGTAAGGGAAAAGAGGAGAAAGCCCAGCTCAGAAGCACAGCTCTTGAGTGTGTAGCCCAGAATTCGCAAGCCCTGTGAATGCCGGGAGAACTTGAAGATGCGGAACACCCGGAACACACGAAGGGTGACAAAGGCTCCAGAGACATCCTCGTTCTTGGGCACAAAAAGCCCGATATAGTATGGCAGGATGGCCACCACATCGATGAGGCTCATTACACTCCGCAGAAAACGACAGCGGCTGGGGGCAGCAAACAGCCGCAGGAGATATTCACCCGTGAATATGAGCACACAGGCTGTGTCCATGCAGAAAAATGCCAGCGGGAAACGTTCACCACAAGGTTGCTCCCTAGAGGGCCGCCGTGCGGGGCTGCGGCACGGGATGGTCTCCACCACGTTGGCAATGACTGACACAGCGATGAAAAAGCCGGTAACGTAGTAGAAAACGAGGGCCGCAGTGCTCGTGTGTGGATTCTCAAAGGCCCGCCAAAGCCTCTGGCGCAGGGAGCTGCCGGCCCGCAAAGCTGGCCCATCCCCGGTCTGCTCGGCTTCCTCATCCTCCGCCAGGCGCTCTGCATTCTCCTTCTTGCGGTCGCGGTACTCTTCCAGGCAGCAGTCGCCAACAAGCTCAGGTACCAGGCCGTAAAAGGCCAGTTCTTCATCGAAGGCCTGGATGCACTCTTGCCGTGGGCAGTGCAGACGGCCTGTGCGGTAGAAGTTCAGCACGTGTCGGAACATGTCCGGGTCGCGATCGAAGAAGTATTCGCCCGAGTCAGCATTGTAGAAGAATTCCTTCTCTGAACTGCCCAGCAGGGTGTCTGGGTAGCGGTCCAGTGTGTTCTTCCAGGTCTCAAAGCGTCTTCCACTCACGTTCACCACCAGAACCTCATCTCCTCGAGATGCCTTCACCCCTGGCGCTGGGGGCAGGGGCTGCTGGGCCAGGGGCAGCCAGCCCACTGCAGCCGCCCGCGCAAAAGGCAGCCACGTGGCCACGCCTGCCGCCATCCTGCCGCGCACCCCAGGCCCTCGGAGACTTGGGGGGGTGGCCTTTAGGAGAATGTGGCTGTCTCCAGGATGGTGGGGGCTTGGAGGGGCCCTGGGACACTTGCACAAGGAAACTGGGGATGTCTAGAGATGCCAAGAGGAACCTGGAGGAGGAACTAGAGACAGGGGCAGGAGCTTGGGGGGCATTTAGAGGGTCTGGGAGGGACCTGGGAGAGGTCTTGAGGGACTGAGAAGGGGCTGGGGGACATGGAAAGGAGCAGAGAAGGGGCGTCGAGACGGGGCAGAGAAGGATCTACGGGAGCACTTAGACTGATATGGATCTAGAAGGGTTGGCATTTGCCTGAGAGATATCCGGGCGTGTCTAGTGGAGGCAAGAAACACAGGAGAGCTGTCCACATTCTCAGGAGTTTGGAGGGAAGGAAGAAGGGACTAGAACTACTTAACAGGGTTGGAGAGGGGATTGAGGCATCCAGAAGGGTAGAAATGGGACCAGAGATGTTTGAAAGAGGCTGAGAGTGTCTGGATAGAGATTCTAAGGGGGATGAGAAAGGTGAGGAGGGTGGTCCACAGTCTGAAGACTTCTGGGTAAAGTTAAGGGGGTTGGAGTCCCTTCTTGGACCTAGGAAAAGGGTTGATGCATCTAAGGAATATCTACAGAGCCTGTAGGTGTAAAGAGGCTGAGAGGTGTCTTGGGAGTGCCTAGAACTGCCAAGAATAGCCTGGGGGTGTCTACATTTTAAAGTAGTTCTGGGGGAATGGAGAGGTGGGACCTCTAGTGGGCCTGGAGAAGGGAGTGGGGTATCTAATAAGGTAGATAAGGAGCTAGGTTATTTTTTCAGAGGCCAAGAGGTGTCAGGGGGAGAGAGGTATCTAGGGGTTTGAGATAGCCTTGCCTATCCTCATAAGAGTTCCAGGGACAGAAAAGGGGACTGTGGAATCCTGCGGGGATGGAACGCAATTGGAAGGAAGTTAGACACAGACCCAGAGCACCCAGAGGATCGGAAAAGAGTAAGAGGAAGAGGGGGTGCTCCCCAAAATGGGTCGGAGATCAGAGCGGGATGTTGAAAGGGAGTTGGGTGTGTCTCCAGGAAGCGGGGCTGCTGGGCCTTGCAGGGGGCTGAGGAGGGAGTCCAAGATAAGGCTGCATCCCACTCTTGGGGGCTGGTCTGGGGAAACCACACCCCGAGGGGCTGATGGTGTTCGCTGGGCAGCAGCAGTAGTAGCAGCAGCAGTTGGAGAAGGAAGAGGAGAAGCAGCCACAGCCAGGCCTGGGAGTGAAGGCAGCACAGACAAGGGAGGGGGCTGGGTCCCTGGAAGGAGGCTCTGGAAGGACAAGGTCCAGCAGGACCCAGGGGGACTGTCCCAGGATAGGCTAGGGCGTGGGGACTGGACCAGGGAAGGGCAAGGACAGCGCTGTTGGTGCCCCCCTCCCATTCCCCACAGGGCCAGCCTCACCTGTGTCCCCACTGCAGCAGCGGCAACAGCGGAGGGGCTGGGGGTACCAAGCACCGGAGCTCTTGCCCCCCTCTGCAGAGGTGCCCAATCTCTCCTCCTCCGGCTCTCTCCCCGCCCCTCTGAGCTTGCCGGGAGATGGAGAGGCAGGGAGGGGCCTCTTGGCTCCCAGAGCCCCTTCCCCTAGGACCGCCTGAGAGGTACCCTGGGGAGACTCCGCCTCCTACAAAGCTGGTTGGGCCTCAGTCGCGTCATCTGAAAAATGGGGGTGGTAGGGAGCTTTGCCAGTTCTCCCCACCTCCTTCCTGAACTCACCCCTCTTCCTGCCCAGCTCCTACCCCCCTGCCCCTTGGGGCCTCCACCCCCACCGTCTGAATCAGCAGCACTTAGCAGATGCGATCGATGGGGAGGCGTCTGTTTAATGGCCCTAGAGCAGAGTGCCACAGGGAATGATGCAGCGCTGTGTCCCCTCCCTGCCCCCCAAGGCTGGAGAAGGGGTGGATGGAGGGAGACTGGTGGGGGAGCATTTCTACAGATGGCCAGGCCCCCAACGCTGCTGGGGGCACAGATTAAAGCACAGCTCTAACCAAGACTGCTGGGACTGAAGTACTATACTCCTGTTTTCGAATGTGAAAGAGGGCGGGGTAAGAGTGTAGCTGGAGACAAGCGGGACCCCACCCCCATACTAGGTTCTTTCCCAGGTAGGCCCCACTCTGAGGGGCAGTCTCCTTCATCTGTCTACATCCAGGAGCCTCAGACCATGTCCTCCCCTAGAGGGCTCTGCTGCTGTGGCAAGAGCTCTAGGTACAAAGTGCCTCCGGCATGGATGGGTTCAAACTCCAGCTTTGCTGACTTATGTATCCTTGAGCAAGTGACTTGCATTGTTTCCTTATTAGATGGAGAATTACCCCAGCTTGGTGGTGTCACTGGGAACATTAAATGGAATCATATGAAAGGGGATGCACAAGGCATGGTGCACAGAGGACTCATTTTTAGTAATTAAAGCTGTGTGGTGCTGGAGAGCAGTAATGCAGGGCCAATTATAGCCTTTCAATCAATTTATCTCCATGTAACCCTCCATTTGCAAACTCATCACACTCCTGATTTGTCCATTTCTCCAACCCTTCACCCACCCACTCACTCATCCATTTGTGTATTTACCATCCACTAGTCACCAACCTATCCGTATGTAACTCCCTCTGTCCATCCACACATAGCCCCGCCCATCATTTATTCACCTACTCGTTCTCTTCTCGTTCATTAGCTCATCCATCTGCCCACTCATCCACCCACATTCCCCTAGCCATCCATCTGTCCATTTACATCCCCACCTGTCAATCCTCTCTACCTATCCACCTACCAATCCATCTATCCATTTATTCACCCAACCACCTATCCATCCGTCCATTTATTTCCTAATCTATCCATCATTGTTCAATACCTTTTATTGATTTACCATCAGTCCATCCAAACCCTTATCCATCCATCCGTCCGTCCACTCATCCATACCCACACTCCATACACATTGACCCAAATATATCTGCAGGTATTTCTGCTCCACTCAGTTTGAGGGGCTAGTCAACAGCCATTGAAGACAGGCTGGGTGAGGCTGGGTGAAGGAGAGTGAAGTTGTGGCCAGAGACCTCCCTCCCCATTCCAACGGTGTGACCTTAACACCCCCAGTATATCCCTACTGGTTAGAAAGAATGAGGGCAGACAGTCAGCGGGTGGGCCCACCTGGCCAGATGATATTTTGGCTGCACAGCCTTTACACACACACACATTGCTAGAATGCTGAACACAGACTGCACCCCACCCAATATTCCCAATCCCAAATGCAGAGTAGCCAGGCTCCCAAACATAAATTAAAAATAAAATAAAATAAAAAAGAATTGGTCTCTGGGAAGGAGAGCTCATGCAGAGATGAAGGCAAGTGCCCCTGGGAACCAGGGCCAAGGAGGACTGGACATCCCTGCCCCTCCCCTCAGGGTCTTCACTCCCCAGGGACCACTGCCCTAAGATAGGGTCACTAACAACCAGCCATCAGGCTTCCAACCCCTTTAATGTCCAGTCTCCCAACTTATTTGATTTTGGTGCCAGCCCCCATTTCCCCACTTCAGCCCAAGGGAATGGTGTTCTAAGGGTGGGTTGAGGAGGGAGTGGGGGCAGCCTGAAGGTCTTTAGCTCGCTTCTCCTGGTTGTGGGTCTGGGTCGGGGGACCCCATGCACTCCTTGCTGAGCCGCACAATTTCCTGGGACAGAACTTCCATGTCCTAAGAAACAAATAAACCATTAGGGGCCACAGAAGGTGGCAGGGGAAGCTCCCTCACCAAGCCCGGGGTGTCCTCCTTCTTACCTCATTAATCAACACCCAACTACATCTAGTCTGGGACAGAAAGGTGTTTGGAGTTCACAAAGCCCCCAGAAGTGGGCTGGGCTCAGGAAAGGTACATGTATGAGCGTGTGGGAGCCTCTGGAGCTAGGGACATGGATATGGGAGAGGATCGCCTGCCATGCATGGTGCACTGGAGGATATGACCCCCTACCACCCTAGCCACCTTCTTTTTAGCAAATGGTGAGTTTGCTTCTCAGAAGCAGGTGCCAGGTCTGCATTCCTTCTAACTCCTCCAGAGATGGGGGAAATATTTGAGTGGTAAGATGGGCAAGTGGTCGTGTCAGTAGACACATGGGGGATCCATGGTAGGCAAACAGGTAGACAAATGAGCTGTTCAGAGGACAGATGAAGGGCAACAGTAAGCGGGCCGGTTGCTGGGTGGGTGGGTAAAAGCTAGGACAAGGAGTGTGATTGATGAGTAGGTAAGAAAGAGAGCATAAGGTCAGGAAATGGGTGGAAAGATACGGGGCAGATGATTAGATGGTTATGGGGCAGATGGACAAATAGTAGGGGGGGTTGATAGGAGAGTTGGGTGACTGTGGGTACGAACGGATGAGTGGATGGATGCAAGGACAGGAGGAAAAGTGAACAACTAAACTGACAATAGTAACTTGACTGGAGGATGGGAAGATGAGGATGAAGGAGTGGTTGGTGAATGGAGGAGACTGGCAGATAATCTAGGGCCTGTGTGGCGACTGGGGAGTCAGGTGGCTGTATGGACAGATGGGCACACTGATAGGCTACTCGCCTTATGCAGGTGCATATTCTTGGTGAGCTGCTCCTCCAGCATGTTTTGTAGCTTCTTGTTCATCTCCCGAAGGTTCTCATCTCCTGGTTTCACTAGGTCTCTCAGGACACTGCCCAGCCCACTGCGGTCTGTGTGGCCTGCTGCCACGGACACATCTGCAAGGGCCCAGGCTGAGAGCTACCCCTCAGCAGAACCAGAGGAGAAATAGCCAGAGACAGAGCAGAAAAGAAGGAAACAGAGAGTGGGGGAGAAAAGTGGTAGACAAGTCATATCATGTAAGGGGCAGAGGCTTAGCCATGTGAACCCTGGCTGTCACTTGTTGGCTGTGCAGCCCTGAGAAACGGGGATAATAACTCATGGAGCTGGAAAAATGTATATGACTGCATGTGAAGCACAGAGCACAGTCAGGTCTCAGCACATGTCAGCTGGTATTATTCTGATTCATAAGGGAAAAAAGGGAGAGAAGAAGGTTTGAAAGAAAGGAGCA